TTACCCTTGCTTTGGTCGCCTCCTGCTCGCGATCTCGACTGCGATGAGGACTGTTACTCAGGATATCCTTTGTAAACAATGTCACATCTCGCTGGACTATTTACGGTTCCAGCTTTCGTGACTCTCCTCAATTCACCATTGCCATACTAGAGGAGTACAGACCATGAGGTCTTTCCCCATAATCGCGGCGCTGACAGAATCTGAGATCCCCCTCGTCATCTGCGCTGCCACGGCTAGTGTGACCGACGGTCGCAATGAAGGCGACGATGATCATGGATGAGTTGAAGCCGTCGACGGCATTCGGTTCGGGAAGGGCATTTAAACTGCAAGCACGCTATCTGCAACTTTGGGCGAAGAAAGCGCCTGTCAACACTTGCCTTCTCGTCCTGTTCCTTCTTCGCCTCCTTCCCCCCCCCCTTGTTTGTCAGTCAAGTCTCTCTCCTTTTTCTCTCATTTGTCGTCTCTCTTCTCTCTCTTCTCTCTCTCTCCCTCTCTTTTGTTCTTTTTTTTCTTGTTTCTCTCTCCCCCCCTTCTCTGTTCTCTCTCCTCCTTTCTCTCTCCTCCTCTCCCTTTCTTTCCTCCTCCTCCTCCTCCTCCTCCTCCTCCCCCACGGCGATCGCTTCACCACCAGCCCTTAACTTTTCTTGACACTCTTTAAACACAAAAGGTCTTAGATTCGTGTAATCTATCTCCTTTTTTATTTATTTATTTTATATATATATATATATTTTTTTACAACCCTATTTATTATTTATTTCTTTTACGGATTCGGTACGTACTGTACTGTCCTCCTATCGGGTCAACTCTTTCGAATCCCCACCAACTTCCGTCAGTCACCATGCGATCCATCATCTACCTCGCAGTCACCGCCTTTGCTGCCGTTGTGGCCGCCCAGAGCAATGGTAATCCTTTCAACGTCCCTAGTGACGGCTACCAATTCGTCGCTGGCCAGCCGACCACGGTCACCTGGGACCCTACCACCCCCGGCACCGTCTCCCTGAGGCTCCAGATGGGCGACAATGTCACTCCCCAAGATGGTATTCCCCTTGCCGGTGCGTATTATATATGATATACTCTCCCCCTCCATTTTCGTTCTTCTCTTTTCGCATCTCTCACCTGCAACTCTGTGTGTGCTGTGTGTGTTGTGTGTGTGCGCCGGCCAGATCAGGAATCTTTGGCTTAAAGCATGCGCGTGAGCCTGAAGATCCCCTAGTAGCCAGGAAAGAAAGAAAAGGAAAAAGGGCGGCGACGACCTCTTCATTCTTATCTATCTGTCCTGCAGGGGAAAAAAAAAAAAAAAAAAAGAATATTCTAACAAACATCCCCCCAATTTATATAGAAAACCTCCCCAACTCAGGCAGCTTCGAATTCACCCCCCCCGCCGACATCCCCACCGCCTCTACCTACTACCTCCAAATCATGGACGATGATCATCCCGAAAACTCCAACTACAGCCCCATGTTCTCCATCGGCGGAACCACCGGCACTGGCACTGCCCTGACCCCAATCAGCACAACTGCCACTGAAACCCGCACCACAGACACCTCCGACTCCTCCAGCGCCACGACCACCACCGCCACGACGGACTCGGCCAGCACCACCATGACCACCTCCGCCTCCACCACCACCAGCAGCTCCAGCAGCTCATCCGCCTCCTCCTCATCCACCCCGTCGCCGACCGGCGATGCCACCAACGCCCCAGACCCGAACAGCGCCATGTCCATCGCCCGCCCTGGCTTTATGCTCTCTGCTGTCCTGGCGCTGATGTCTTTCCTGTAAACTATCTTTCTTTTCTTTCCTTTTTCTTTCTTAATAGTTACAAACCCTTTTATTTATTAAAATTTAAATTCAACTATTCCCCCCCATATTCCCATATCATTTGACGGAGTGGGTGAGAGGCGAGGGGTTTTCCACCGTCTCAATCCACTTTCCAAATGCCATTACAATTCCTTCGATTCAATTCCATGGCGGTTCTCCTTTTTTTCTCAGCATGAACGCATCTGTGACTTTTGAAAGTGTTGTGTCTATTACATTAATCATCCAGTATTCTTGTTTCGTCAGTAGTCCTCTCAATAATATTTTCATTCGCCTTCTGCATCGCTGCTTGCATTTTCAATTGTGAAGTGTTTATATAAATTTAAAAATCTTTTTTTTTTTTTTTTTTTTTTTTTTTTTTTTTTTTTTACATCGCAATCTCCTTGTACAGTAACTAACCCCCCCCCCCCCCCCTTTTTGTATGTTATCCGTTATATAGTTACCTAGGTACAATGTACGTACATGTACATGTGCGCGCGTCCTGTATTGGCCGTTGGGAGGGAGGAAAGGCGCCAATACTCTTACAGCGTGTATACTCCGTAGTCAGGGTAGTTAGTTAGTTAGTTTACTGTGTACAGGACAATACTGAAGTTCTTGATGGCTGGAAGCGAGTATGTGGCCCCGAGGCAAGAAGGGTGCGCAGGGGGGGGTAGATATAGGTAGGTAGGTAGGTACGGGTGGGTACATAGATGGGTTGCTCTGGGTTCCCCGGTGTTGTTGGCTGAACCTCTTCCAATGCTCAATCGTTATTTAGCAGCTGCTATATATGCGCGTTCTGTCCCCTGGTCTGGTCTGGACAAAATGGGAACTGGAAAAAGAAAGAGCGGCAGGCATGAAGAAAACTTGAGGAACGAACGACATGGTAAAAATTACCCCAAAATCAAATCTACGAACGGTATCAATCAACCACCACACACCACCCCATCTAACTCCCCTTCGCTTCCCCCTTCTTCTTCACCCCCCCACCAGCCCTAAACGCCGCCGCACGCCGGGTACTCCTCGTCTTGGGCTTCCCAGCCCGCCCCTTGGCTCCACGACTCTTAGTCTTCACCTTAAACCCACCCGGCCCCTTATCCGGCCTCGCCCGGAAACCCTCAAAGACAAACGCGCCAGACCCCTTCCCACCATCACCATCACCACCACCACCACCACCACCACCACCACCACCGCCACCGCCACCGCCACCATGACCATTGGAGCCCGGGTTCTGCGCCATCCACGTCCTAGCCTTCCCCAACAGCCCCTCCGCACGGCCCTGGAAGCTCGCCTGCCGATCCCCGCCCCTGCGCACGCCCAGCGCAGTCTTGTTCGCATTCCCGCTGTCCCGCTTCCTACCATTGCCACGCCCCCTATCCTTGGCGCTCTTCAGCACCCGCTTCGCGCGCGTGACGCGCAGTCTGCGCGGCAGCAGCGGTGGGAATTTCTGCCCGTCCAGCAACAGCGCGGCCTCCACGGCATTCTCGTCGCGGAATTGGACGTAGGCGATCCCCTTGCCGATACGTGTGGCTGGGTCGCGCACGACGCGCACGGATTCGACGGGGCCTAGGACCGCTGGGCTGGTATTATTGCTCCTGTCGCCATTGTTATTGGAAGGCGCGGGCGTGGACGTGGATGGCTGCGCGGCGACGGTGCTGGCGCGCGCATGCTCGTTGAACGTGCGCCAGAGGCCCTCCTCCACGTCGGCGCGGGGGGTATTCTTCTTCTTCTTCTTCTTCTTCTCCTCCTCCTGTTGTTGTGTTGTTTGTTGTTGCTCCGCGTTGGGTGTTTCCTCGTCGACGAAGCCTCGTCGACGAAGCCTAGGAAGATGCAGCGCTTGTAAGCGCTTGTAAATCGACGGGCGCCGGGTGGGCGAACGCTTGTCGACGCGCAGATGCCTGTCGAGGATGACGCTGCCGTTTAAAGCCTGGGGGTGCTCGTCGTGCCGGCTGCCGGTGGTGGTGTAGAACTACGTATGCGTTTGTGCTGCGGGTGGTGGAGTCCATGAGCTCGCGCTTGGGGTAATGCAGCGCGTTTGGGCATTGATCGGGTGGCGAAGGCGGTAGAGCGGAAGCGGATTGATTCGATTTTATGGGGAGTGGCAGATTCGGGGAGGGAAGGGATGAAGGAAGAGAGGTGTCTGAGGAGGGTTTTCTTTGCGGATTTGGATTTGATGGCTTCTGTGGAGACGTTGGAGAGGAAGACGGTGCGGGCGGATTTGTCGAGGAGGGCGGCGTCGGGGTTGTTGGAAAGGGATTCGTGTAAGGGAGGAGGGCTGGCTATGCTGTCTTCGTTGCCCTCGTCGTTGCCTTCGGAGTCTGAAGAGTCGCTCTCCCTCCCGACGGTTTCAACAACTTTCCGCCGCTTTGCCTTCTCGCTTCGTCGTTTCTCGTCCTCCTTGGCATCCTCTTTCGCCACGCGCCGCATGTAGGATTCCTCTAAGTCATCTGCGCCGCCTCGTTTTCTTTTCCGTCCCTTTTCCGGAGTCAATGATTCATCATCAACATCCTCCATCACCTCATCACTGCTCTCCGATAGAGCTTCCTCGGCCGCCTCGTCCTCATCAGATGAGGAAGATTGCATGGCATTTCGTTCGCTGGTCCTCCCCTTGGGCTTTGACGTCGCCGCCAGATTAGCACTAGTGAATTGCGGAGCTTTCACAGGTCCAGCCTATGGTACAGAAAAGTTCGCAACCAAGTTAGTTAAACCTCTTGTAAAGTCAGAACCACCAACGCTCAATTGCGTTAAATCAAATAAATAAAAATAAAAATAAAATCGACAACTTCCAATCCCTTGAAAATACAAACAAGCATAGTCAGAGAAACTCACACTCTTCTCAAATAACGATGCAAGCATCGGATCCATGGCTGCCGTAGTATCCCCGCCGCCGGCCAAGAAAGGGAGTACTGAGCCATTGGCAGCCAGTGCGCTGCCTGCATTATTTTCCTCGCCTGCGGGCACAGCAGCCTTGGGCTGGGATTTTTGTTTCTTCCCCATCGTTCTTTTTTCCGGGTTTGTTGTTGTAAGTGGTATGGGCTTTTGGATTGATAACCAGTGAGTGTGTTAAACAATAATTCCGCCGAGCTTTGAACTTTTTTCGTTCCAAAGCGTTTTGCTTGGCATTAGACACAAAAATGCGACTAAGCCAAAACGGTACAGGTCATGTGATATAAAACTTGATTGAGGCTTGGCGCGGACAACATCAAAGACTTGTATCTCGGGGTTGACTACGTGTGATGGTTTAACGCTTATCAATTCGGTATATAGTTATATTTTGCCAAAGCGTGTTAGTGTGCAAGTTGGAAAGTATAACAGTTCAGGTAAGAATGGATGAAAACAATGGCAAGTGGCTCAGCTGTAATCTCTGATATAGAATGGTTCCACAAGCTGAGACTTCAAAGCTGGCGAACGCAGCCCCGGCATCAAAAGCCACGGAGAGCGTACGAGGAGAACAAGAAAGTATTCAAGACCTGAAACTAAGAACTCGGATATGGGCAGAGTATTCATGGGTGATATGCGCGTACTAACCTTAAAAGGCAATAATGGCGGCAAATTTGGCTATGACAGGCGCAGAACAAACCCGACAAGTGCGAGTGCGATCAAAGGTCTGTCCATGGTAAGAGTCTACATTTCCTGACACTGCAGAAGGTCGTCAAGCGCTAGATTGGTCCTCAATGGATGTATTTGAACATGAAATAGCACGGGTTTAAGGGAAGTCCGCAGTTGTATCTGCACCTTCCAGAGATCAGGAGCGTGAACAGAAAAAGACGGTGACAGGAAAACTAGCAAGATGTGTTCAAACCCCTAAATAAGGAAGAGCGAATTAAATATTTATTAACAGTTCTTATCGAAGCTGCTGATTTCATTACTCGCCTGATTGGAGCACAATGGATCCCAGGGGTGAGAATTCTGTGTTATAGAACGGTTCAGCTGAGAGGAAGGACACATCCATCCGATTCGGCAATCCGAGACTGCAGCCACGTGATCGGAGATTTCCAACCCGGTCACGGCAAAATGAATGTAGTCAGACGGGCGCACCAGTGGGGAGCCAGAAAACCTTGGAAGAGGGCCTTGGCAAAAGCGGTGAGCACTTTACGTATATTCATTGGGCAGAGCAGACACACAAAGATGGTGCTTAGTCATCTAAAAGTCAGTCGCCGCACTCGGAACGGCGGTATGTTTGCATTATTTGCTTGCTTGCTGGCAGATGACAGCAAGGGAGGTCACTTGAAGCAAAAGATCGCCGCTATTTTCGCTGTGTATTGAAACTTTGGTAATATGGATTCGCACGTCGGTGACAATACCTGTTCGGCCACAGCGATTGCCTGCGGCACAATACCTCCCTCCGAAGGACTAGGCTGCGTAAATTACAGTAACCGATACCAATCCCTGCTGTTTGGAGGGAAACAAATCATCATCGATACGCTGCCAATACACAGCCAAAGGAATCGCCTGGTCTTTCTCTCCTCGCACTCAGATCCTCCTGCTTGCTGCTTCTTTCCGCTCTCCCACACTCCTCCCTGCCATCGATTCACACTCCTCAGACCCTTCACGCTATCTCTCAGACTCCCGTATCCTCCAATTTAGCTTGATCTCAGCTGTACTCCTCGTTAAACTACCCCCCCTGTGCTATTCGCCGGGCTCCAGCTTCCTGCCCGCTTCCAACTCAAAACGCACCCCAGTCTTTTGCGAACAGCACTCCCACCCTCCCCCTCGCCCTGCCTTTCCCTCATCTACTCTGCACGACGTCGCAGAAGATCATCTACTACACGATATTGCTTCTTTGCGCTTCCCTGTGTCTCTCCAGCTGTCAAGTCTTGATTCCATTGTCGACCGCGAGCCTGTGGTGCACCACCGTTGCTGCGCTTCGAGCGCATAACCGACCAGGTACGTCAAGCCCGCTTTTTGTCGAAACAACATCTCCATACAACGTGGAGGAAAGCATGGAATAACTGGAGGCTCGCTGAGACCTCCTGGACTCACTTTGGGATATCTGCCGCCCCGGATATTTGACTGCTGCTTTTTTGCTCCTCGCCTCGTCATTGAGGTTGGGTCACCAGAATTGTTCAGTCAAAAACCCCTTCACCAGTCCAGTAGCTCTCCACAAACCTTCAAATTCCATCTACAAGGCTTTTAAGACTTTGGATTCTATTCAATATCATATATTGTGAAAGCGTCACTAACTCAATTTTCTTTTGGCCTGTTTCGCAGCTTTCGAAAAATCTTCACTCACGCCCTCCCGACCTAATCGGTTACTGAAACCACCAATCCAACTTGGTTGGACGTGCTCTCCCTCCCATCTTTGCGTTGAAATCAACGTAAATCATATATTCAATACCTAGATGGACTCCATAGAACCAGCGGAGTCGGCCACTCCCCTTGCACAATTGGCATCTGTCGCTGAAGCTGGGGTCAATGGCCGCGACACCGAGTATTCTATTGCGGACGATGCCCGTTCTAGTAGCCTGAGCGACCTTGACGATGCTTTAGACAACGACAATTTGGATATTGAATCCCCAAAACTTGAAAAGGTTGCGAGTGAAATTGACTCAGAAGCTGAAACAGAACGGATCGAAGAGTCTCCAAACCACCTGCGAAACCGCAGCAACATTGTGCTGAACGCGGGCATGTTCGAAACGAGTCCCAGCAAGCTAGCACAATCCACAACATATGACGAACTTAATGATGAAGATGACGAAACAGAAGCCTCTCCCACCAAACCACGGCGGAAAGTCAGTAGCAACGGCATACCAGCTACCGACAATGTTGCTGCCGCTGATGGGCCCGAACTACTAAGCGCTTCTCTTGAGGCCATTAGCAAAAAGCGTAAACGGCTCGACCTAGGAGGAGATGCTGGTTCTGAAGCAAGTGACGAAGAGCCTCTACGAAAACGTCGTGGCTCCGTTCCCGTGAGCGGAACAACTTCCAAGTCATTGCCAGACCTCTCATCGAGCCTTCCAAGCGGTGACGCCCTCCAAAAGAACAGCGAAACTTCCCCCGACGAGACTCCAGCCGCAGAGGAGACACGGAGCCTCGATGCGCGTGCCCCAGTTTCGAGGGGTAAACGAGGGAAGAAAGGCAAACGAAAGGGCAGAAACGCCAAACAGGTTTATGACGACACCGAAGCAGAGAGTGTTCCTCCAACGCGAGGTGCCGAACAAGATGTTAACGGCTTGGCTGATGAACCAGCCGCAGACGAAGAAGAACAAGCTGAACATGTCGATGAGGTGGATGACACGGAGGTCGTTTCGAAGGCGGAAGAAGAGTGTACGTATAACTGCTTGATCTATATTTTTTGCGCCAATCCCTAGCTCGTTGAGTCTCATTACTCACAACGAGAATAGTGATGAAGAAGTCCACGGCTATGGACCTTCTGGTTACACTTGAACGACAATTCGCAACGTTGCGCGATAGGTAAATTGTTGATCCATGCCGTCCCCTGAATATGGATTGTCTCTAATATGATTTGTTTGTGCTCGCTGTAGGATATACGATGAGAGAATCGCAAACCTCAACAATGAGCTATCACAACTCACTGAAGAGAATGCTACTCACCCTGAATACCTACGTCAGCTCAGTATAATCGAGAATTATCGAGATGAAAAAATCAAATACGAGAGAACCCTTTTCAAGTACAAGCTATCCTCGCTATTCAACAAAAGCCAGGCCGAGCGCTGCCAGGCAAACAGCTCTTACTTCCAACGGGCCCGAGATGTTCGTGAAAAGTATCTTGATGATGCTTCACGCCTACATTACCGAATTCAACAGGATAGATTCCAAAATGCCGAGGCTAGCCCCGACTTCTCTATTCCCTTCCCAACTCGCCGCTCACAACAAATTTCCCAACAAACTGCCTATAATAAGGAGGTTTCTATTCTCTCGGGCGTTGCGAAATATGTGGGCTTCCCAGCTGCTCCCGCTATCTTGCCGGCGCGACAAAATGAGACAGATGAGGATTTGGCCAAGATGGGGGTAAGTCCTCTAATACACGTCGGATGATAGAGAAATGTCGGGAGATATACTAAACAAAATTCTTGATTCAGATTGACCCACGTTCTATGAATGCGCCTCCCAACTTCCCCCGCCCATCCCACCCTCGCGGCACATTCACTGCAACACCATCGACAACGACACGCCCGGGCGCAGCGGAGGAATTCCTCGAACAGACACCATGGGCAAACCCACAACACTCCAGCCATGAGCAATATTTACAACAGCTTCAACAAATTAGGATGAATGAGCAGCAACATGGAGCGGATTATATATATGCTACCCCTGCTGCTCAACAGCGGGTCGTGGATCTACACGCGCCCAATGGGTCTGCTTCTACGATTCCAGACCATCCATCCGCGCCTAACTCTTCAGCCGCAAACACCCCGTACGTCGTTGAGCAAGACCGAACAGGCCACCCACATCATAATAATAACCGAGCGCTCACAACGGCTAGCGAATCCCCCTTTACCCGCCAACCCAAAACAGATGAAGCTGAAAGGATGTCAGGGTTTCGATCCCAAACCTCGTCTCCACTGGAAGTGCGGAAACCCAGTAACCCACGCCGGCCACAGTCGCGAACCATCTCTGGCCAGCGATCGCCCGTACACCCTCAGCACCCTCATAATCCTCTGTCAGAAGAGGTCGGGCCCTACCAAACTTCCAGCGCTACCAGAGATGGCAATCAAAACAACATCAATACCAACAGTAAACATAGCAATAACATCACTAACAATATCCAATCGTCCCCACCATCTTCAGCACGCCTGGGACTTTTCGGCGCTCCACCCCAATCTCGACGGGAACCATCTCCGCAATTACCGACTCCGTCCGCAGCCCCGAATCCAGAGCTACTTGGCTCCTCCACGTCAACAGCAGCAACAGCCTCTCGGCAACGGTCCGCGCCTCTGAACTCCATGCACCAAGCCGCTGGTATCACGGCAGGCGGATCTGGGAGGAGTCGGATGGGTGCGCGATGATAGTTCTGTTTTAATATATATACACGTATGCCTGAGGGAAATACATATCCCCGACCCTTCGTTAGGTCCATCCCCCGGAACGCGTGCAGCTTGCATCCCGCATCGCGGCATCCCCACGCACGCCCCGCGCGCGTCCATGCTCGTGCCTAACTTCGTGTAACCGTGAAACGTCAGTACCGGGGTTTTTTTTTTTTTTTTTATTTGTTTTATTTTTATGGGAATTCAACGTACGTGATACGAAACGGTCAGGCAGGGGCGGTGTGGCAACGCCTTACCTAAACGGGAGAGGGCTGAATTTTGGATGGGGTTTGGTCTGGTTATATATTACAGCTAATAATTTTCTTCTCTTCGCTCTGTTTACTTGTCTGCTAGGAGAGGTGGGGGAGCAAAGGCCCTGTTAGCAATTAACCTTTTTTTTGTTCTTGTAACTTGCATTTCTTTTACCTTTTCCCCTTTCCTTTTTTTTTTTTTTTTTTTTTTTTTTTTTTTTTTGTTTTTTGTTTTTTTTTTTGGGGGGGGGGGGGCATGCCGTGTGAATTTTGAGGGGTCGTTGAGGGTTGGTGCTGGCGGATTGTGGAAACGTTTCTTTTTTCAATTAATTTTTTTGGACAGTAAATAATACCCCGAGACAAAAAGGAAGTGGGCGTTTTTCAACCTTTTTGACATTTAATTCCACGGAAGTGTTATGACGGTGATTTAGCCATCATGATAGGATTACTTGGTATATGTATTTCCTCACGTTTTCAATATTTTTGTGATACTTTCTAAGAGATCATCTACCCTCTTAAAACGAATTAGAAGGGATGTATTTTATTCAATTTCAATTTTTTTCGTCATCGTAACCCTCGTGGTTTAACATAACATGCCGCTATGGGTCTTGTAAAGCATATATATAGAAGAAGAAGAAGAAGAAGAAGAAGAAGAAGAAAATTGAATGAACAATGCAAAATGAGCCTGGGGGCAGATATCAAATCCTTTCTCCCAGGGATTTGAGAGGAAAATTAGAATTTCCAGGATACATAGAACGCTCAAACCCAAAACCAAACCTCACTTCACCTCACATATGTATCCCGTTTCGAACCTCATTCCATCTCATTCTCTCCTCCCTCTCCTCCAAATTCCCTACGTAAACCACTCACACCCCGCGAATTGACAATTCGAATCCACACAATCCCTACAGACCTGCATCATCCTGTCGCCCTTGGGGTAATACATCTCGCAGACGGTATATCCATGGATTCTCTCTACGCAATTCGGCCGTAGCCTAGGGTCGCTTTCGCAGAAATGGGTTCTGCCGCATTGTTTGTTGAAGGGGTTTGGTGGTTCCGTTTCTTGGGGAGGGAACCATCGGTCTATTTATTGTGGTTGGTTTTTTTTGTTTTTCTAAGTTTTAGAAGGGCGGGAGAGTAAAAAATGAAATGATGAATATGGATGGAATGGGGGTGAGGTATGGGGTAGATGTGGAAGTGGAAGTGGAGTAGTAGAGGTATGGGACAGGAGTGTTTCTCTTTCTCTTTATTCTTTTTTTGAAACAGAGGCAGATGGGACAATTTGTTATTTGTTTTTATATTTTAAGAGAATATAAATTGCATGTATGTGCATGTGTATCAGGTCCATGTACTGTATATAGCAGAGTAGTGCAAAACGTACCTGGTCTACCTGGTCTGTCAGTAGTGGAAGACAGCACCCGAGGAGCCCAGAGCAGCAAGGCGAGGAAGAGGGCGAGGATCCGTGGGAATAAAGCGTTCCCCATGATGGCAGATTCGAGAAAAAGAATGACCGACTTATGAGGTTGATCGACACATTGCGGATCGGCACGCGCGCGTCAAGAGAAACGTCTCAGGTTCGGGCAACCATTCAAGCCCTAGAGTGGAGTGGGAAGATGGGACAGCAAGCGATGATCCTTATCTACGGGAACAGCAGAGACACTTATTAGCTGGGACGTTCCCCTGATAGCTAGTGGTCTCTAGTACTTACACAATATCAATTTTAACACTATTGTTGTTGTTGTTGGTCCACAGCGTGTCGTGCGGCACGGGTGTTTGGGGCCAGACGAAATGCTGCATGCAGCATCTAACGGGGGATATAACGTGAGGATGACTGCTGGGCTCTCGTCTCTTACAAACCTTCTTGAGTCGAAGGTCGAAGCGGGGGGTGCGCACGCATAGGGAAAGGAGAGGGAAAGGCGCCTGTTTTATATATAACAGGCGCTTGGTTGCAGACCGGCTCGATTTGGCGGTTGCTGGGTGTTGTGCTGTGTGTGCTGTGTGTGCTGTGTGTGCGGAACAAGCCCCCAGTCAAGCCTCCCTTCCCCCCGTCCCACGCCTGCACAAGCGTTTCTAACTAATTTATAGCTGCTAGGCATAGTATACCATCAATAATAAATGACAGAACGCCTTCCACGTTCCCAACCAACCAGCAACGACCACCTCAAGCACCTCAACCACCAGCTCTCTTGGCCCTGTCACTATCTCCAGGATCTCCTCCTCGTTCAAGTTCAAGCGTGGTTACTCCGCGGGGAGCACACCGAATACTGTCATCCTGCAGAGGCGGACTGCTCTTGGTGCCCTTGGCTCTGGTGGCTGGCATGGGCCTAACAAGCGACAGGCTAACTAATAGCTAGGGAGCGAACTAAACTAATCGAAGTGGATGCCACTGCGCGGGTAACTCTATCAAAGACCCGAGAAGAAATACCCGAGTCAATCAAGTACATGGAGGAAAAAACCGGTCTGTCTCCATACTGCATACACGAAGAAATTTATTAATAATTATTAGGATTTACGAAGAAACCTTAGGAAGATGCTAGGCACGGCGGATTTTTTACTTGATATTTCATTCCTTCCCACATAGTCAAGGAGGTTTTCGGTGCACGCCGAAAACTTGCAGCCTGTAAGAGTAGCGACCGAGACACACGAGCCAACAGAAAGAACAGTGGGACATGAGAATCAGGTGCATGTTATCGTTAACATGGGAAATGGGAGGAGGGCGTGTTTGGAACCTGGATATGGATATGAACAAGTAAGTGCGCAACTGGAGGAGAAACTCCTTTCTTCAACGGCGAGAACGGGGATGCCACAGAAACAACAACAGAGGCTGTTTATTATTCTAGGCATCGGCCGTCTCCGTTTTTGAGAATCCATTTTGCATAAAAGCCGGGCGGAATTAACATCGCAGAGAGCATATAAATGGATACTTCGTACGCCATAAGGGTGGTGTTCGGATGCCATTCATGCCACACAGCAGTGCTTTTCACCCCAAAAACCAGGGACTCTTTTGGGTATTTGGTTGAGTTCTGCCTACTTGGTGAGGGTGTTTGAAGCAAGGTTTAATTAAGCATGCTGTATGACTCCTCAGATGCAGATATGCACAAAGGAATACCACGCGCAAATATTCCCGAAACCGGTCTGCATGCTGCTTTCATACGTGTACGGAACGACACCCCCACGTTCCCTGGCGGTGAATAAATGAAAACGGCCAGATAACAAGATGAGCATGCATGATATTTGAGGTGAGACAAAGTGCGAAGGGAGGCGATGTTAATATCATATTTTTTCCCCTCAGCAACCCGATAGCACAAATGCACCTCCATTTTCCAGCTCTACGGGGGTCATTCTCCAGATGGCGGAGGGTATGGTTACTAGGCGAGTTACGAAGGGATCACACCCACCTCCCCTAGTCCAGATTTATGCTGGACAATATTGCAAATCACTCAACCGGGGAATCTCTTCGAGGAAATTGTCGAGATGTCAAGGGGACAGACATCTTTCGTAGAATTTGATAAGAATAATAATGATGTGCGCCTGACGAGGTTGAAAAGGGACATTTATCTCGTTTTTATTAGCAAATGCTAACATAAATTGTCAAGAGCCGTTCCTCGATCTAGACAGACAGTGACAGCATCCTATTCGACTAGGTTGGGTTTCTATTTGAGGGAGTGCTTTGCGTGACCTCTTCCATACTGAAACGGCTAGTTCTATTTCTATTTCTGCCCGCTTCACAGCTTCACCGCCTCTGTTGTGTAAGGGGAAAGGAATACTCCCCAGAGTGCTATCTAGAAGATTCAAGGTTTGATCAACCTTCTCTCCTCAGGGCAAGGTTAGGGCTGAATGTTAGGGCTGCTCTTTATCCAATCTTAACGAGGCATCGGCCATTAACCAGTGACCACCTTCAGCAAACCTACTCTGCCTGCCAGTGAGTTCTCCATTAGTTGGGCCTCGGCCTCTGGCATTACCGAATAGAGGGTGCTTCTATTTATTGGTGTTGGGAATGGGAACGCTTCGTTCAGGATGTTGAAGGGTGTTTGCACCCAGCAGAACGAGCAACAGCAGGAGCTGAGAGTCGTGATTTCACTATGTATGAAGAAGGCATATGGTATGTTGGCCGTCGTACTGAGGTACCCAACAGCCTATGTAGTAGGTAGGGAGGGTAGTAGCGATTCTTGGAGCAAGATGGCCCAGGCAGACAAGAGTTCTCAAAAGATCCGTGCAGCTTTGAGCGAGCACAATTACCCTTCTCCGAGGAACATTCTAATCATACCTAGTGACATGGAGAGAGTTGCGTGGATAGATTTTGATGTTGAAAACACTTATCCTGGCAGCACCTACATCAGAGCCTCAGAACGTGTGTTGAAATCAAGCTTGAAGCTGAAAGTATTGTCAGATTTTGGGCAGATGCTTGTTGGTGGCCCGAATATTTCACCGGTTGCATTGCCACTAACGAATTGTATAGGTAGATGACTAGAAGCAGGGTCCATCACGGAACAGAAAAACTAGGATAAATGGTGATTCTGAATGTGCACGTCTGGGCTTGAAATACACCTAGAGAGATAGAGAAAGAAAGGTGCGAAAGGAGTACTGTTGCTCCGAAGTTCCAGCCTGTTGCGCATTATATCCCCTAATGGGTTTCCAGCTGCCATTCATTATTCACCGCCAACATCGCGAGATACCCACGCTACAGAAAAACAACTAGATGACGTCCCCAGTATCAAGACCTCCGTATCTCAATTGGGCTACCTATACCGAGGCGGGGAATAAGTACTCGAACCCTGCTCTCAAGACTCACATGACCTCGTCACACCCTGGCGTCGCACAATTGCTCTCAACGCAGGATTTGCAGCGACTCAATTCCTCCGTTGGATCCTTCCCATTTTTCTGTTCGCACATGGCGAATCCTGTATCCCAGGACACACACCATCCCTCAGCCAGAACAGTCGGACAGAAGGTCCTGGAGGCGCAGACGCGGCTGGCGAGCTGACCATCTGCCATAAGTAATCCGTTCAGCTGAGGACAAGTGAATGACATGTCCAGCGGATTGGGTTGTTCATTTTCCCACTTACTTGCGAAGTTGACAGGGAATGCGAGGGCAAGTTCTACAGCCGTGTGGGTGCTGACAAGCATGGTACTGGCAAACGCTTTAAGCGAGAATTTCATGATGAGTGGATAGTTTTTGGGTTGTGTGATGAAAATGGTTCAGAATTGGAAGAATGAAGTCCCGCGGACGAATCTAGCTTGGTAGTTGTGGCATTGTTAGTTTACTAAATGGCAGATTTAAGAGGCATTCATCTCACCTGCGAGCAAATCGTTAGCCAGTAATATAGAGATTGCTGGTTGCTGGTGATAATCTGGACATTGGGACGAAGGAAAAAGGAACCTTTGAACGAGCAGATACCCCAATATTTATACTGACTGACAGACAGTGCTGAGGGGAATATTTAATAAGGCCTGGAGCAGAAAGCTGTGTCTCATACTCATCTCAATGCCTCGGAGTCCTTGGGTTGTTAACTCATAGACCCGTCTTAGGATGTAAGTATCCATATTGTGCATTGTACAGATACCCGTGGACATCATGTAATTTTTAATGAGTATAGTGTAAAATCCCTCGTTGGATGTATGCAATGAGCCAAACGTAAATCTCTCGGGTATAGACTGAAGTTGATATCTGGGCGGGATGATCTGCACCGCTCTTCCTGAAATCCCGGTAGATATCAAGATAGTAGGTATGCAGCTAACCACGAGGGCTATGTAATCGTGAACCAGAATACCTGCATCGACCTGGAAAAGCATCGAGTTGTGTGATTTTTAAGCTGCGGTTCACGGGTTGTGCCTTGTTACATTGCCATACCAAATAAGCTGGGTAAAAATGCGCAATGGTTCTCGCCTCTAAGTCCACATTTGAGCTTCTAAATTCTTCGGGGCAACGAGATTGAACGTTGCGGAGTGGGATCAAAGTCGAGAGCGCAGAAAAGGGGAATGTGCGGTCGAGGGTAGTATACAGAAGCTCCCGCGGCCGAGCAATAAATAGGCGAGCAGAGCATACATATTTTTGTCGCGTTGGTAGTAGGGTATATATGGTATATCTATATGCAATGAGGATAGAATTTCGATGCCAGACGAAAGAAATAGAGTATTTGTACACGAAGGAGAAAAACAGAAAAGGAAAAAAAAAAGTGGCTGCGGAACTAAGGAGAAGGAGAGAGTAGAGATTCGGGCGCAAAACTTCGATCAGAAGGGTAAGTGGCGGAACGCGCAATGGCAAGCCCTCTTCGTCTGGCCTGATGGGAGCCGTGGAAAAGCATTTCTTCCCATCCTCGCCCACCCAGACAAGCGTCCATAGTACTGGTCTTATAGTCGACCGACCCATTCTAACTCTCATTCTGCATTAAGACTCCTCTGCCCAGTGATCCAAGCAAGAATGATAACATCATTCAACCCCAAAATTGATTTCTTTTCCCGACAAATCAGAAAACCCATTTAACGCCAGACCGTTGGAAATGAATATCAGAGGGGAGGTAACTGAGTAGCCCTCTAAACTCCGGGTAGGTGGCTATGGGCCATAGGTGGGTGAGGGGTTAGGCAATATATTACACGTAGGCGGAAATTCGTAGTTATTTCGTCCCCTGCGACGGGGCTGGGCTGGCCTTTTTCTTTTCTGGAAGCTGCACGTCTGAAAAATCATCTTGTCCGACAGCATTTATGGTGAAAGCATCTACAAGCGCATCACGATTAGACCACGCCAAGATAGTCAGCAGGAAGACCGAGGGGTGGAATGCATACAAACGCCTATACAGAGGCCGAACAATGCGAGCCCAGTAACAGCATTTTTAATCAGATACGGCCGTCGGGCGCGGATGAGCGCGGCACCCGCTCTGTAGTCCTTATCGTAGTAAGAGGATTTGAAGCTATTTGAGCAAGGTTGGTTAAATCGCGACTTCGTTCAGTGGAAGATCGTCCCTGATAAGATTCGCGACAAATGGAAACTTACATCGTCATGATAGAGAGAAATAGCTATCTAGATGCCAGTAACCTTGTGTTCTCCAAAGAGGGACGGAGTGGAAAAATGTCGATTTCAATCCTTGTCTGTCCCGTAGATGTAATAATTAATGATATCGGGATCTGCGGCGAGGATTTCTCCCCGCAGAGAAAACCTGTCATCACGTGATTGATCACTGTCCATCCATCTTTCCCCGTGGGAAAATCCGAGCTTGGGCTAGTATCAAGAGGAAATTGTAGAGATAAACAAACCTTCTTCTTTACCAACTTATTCTTCCTATCTTCATGCGTCTGAAAAAGCAACAAGCTGAGCGGCAACGCTTGTCGCGGTTTAAACTTGTAGGCGGTTATAGGCGCGCGCCTAAATGAACCGAAACAGGCTAGCGTTATCATTCCTGAGCTTCATCTACGCTCTCAGACTTCGCGACTTGCTCCAAAACAAGAAGTTCAATCAACACACATTGCTCGTCACCGCTATCAGCTCAGCGATTAAGGCTAACTAGCTAGCTTTTACTTTATTTTCTCTATGTAGCATTCACTTTTTCCTTTTAAGCTATCGCTCATTGCAGGTAGTAAATAGGCTCCCCTTCTGAGCCTCTCCGACGTTATCGCCATTTTCTCCAAGGTCGCAGAGCCATTCAGCTCCACCTCCCCTGTCACCCACGGTCACTCCTCGTCGATAACCCACAATTTCGGCTCCTACGCCTCCTACTAAATTAATACTACTTGATTTCTCCAGTTAGAATTAGTATACAAAACGCTCCCGGATTTAGCATTCGTGGCCTTGGGACCTGCCGCTGGGATCAAAAGTCGCCATGGCTCTGCCTTTCGACAATCTCGCGGAGCAGATGTCCCAGCTGGACACTGCTAGGAATGTTGTACTTGGCGATGCGGCTTTATATCCTCAGATCGTTCAGGGCATACTTCCAATAATAGGCGCAAAAGCACGTTTAGAACTTCGGAGATGGGGCGCCGATTTCCTAGCAGAGACGTTTGCCAGCCCCGCGCTGGCCCAACAACCGAAGCAGAAGCTGAGTACACTGGTGATCCAGACATTGTGGGAGCTGTTGGAGAACCCAGATGAGGATGCCAGTGTCGTAAGGGGTGTGATTCAAACTGCTGCGAGTATTTACCCATTGGTGTTTAGAACTATGTATGTCAAACCCTTGGCACCCCAATCCCTTAAATCCCTAAGTTATTGGAATTTTGGACATCGAAGTAGTGTGGGAGAGGCTAGATGGCCGACTCTCACTATCAAGGCAGTAGTTCTTTCATTATCACGGTAGTATGGGATCTGATTTCATCCTTTTTTTTTACTAGCCTTGATAACCCCGACGAATCTGCATTGTGGGAGAAAATGACAGGCATTAAGCAAAATATTTTAAAGCGATGGGACACTGCTTCAAATAACATCAAGGTTTGCTGTATCAAATTCGTCCAGAAGGTGGTGCAGGTCCAAACTACTGGCGTGATTTCAGATCCAAGGGTATGTATGGCATGATACAACTTTGTATGGTCTAGAGATACTAAGCAGATCTACAGCGTCCTGAACAAAATGAAACATCCCTATCAATTGTGCCGAGAAATCATCCGCTTATACCACTACCTAATCTTGAAGCGGAAGCTTCTGGTTTGCTAGATAGGCTACTCAACGTTTTCTATGAAAATTCGAGGTGTGTATCCGAATGCGGTTGTACTGATAGTAAGATAAGCCAGCATCCTACTAACAAGTATAGTGATCCTATCTTGGTCAACGCGACGCTAAATTGCCTCCCTATTCTGATACGCACTCGACAGTCCATTTCAAGTAAGATTGTAAATGCGATTCTAAACTTCAACCCCCTTAAACAAGCGAACGCGCCAATGACTCCTTCAATTCGAGTAAATATCAAGTCCATGGAACGGACCACGAGAGCATTGCTCATCAATTTAATGAAGAGGTACGTAGTTAGGCTATGTAAGATCGTAACTAGTTTCTAATCAGTGCTCTTAGGAACCCAAATCATCCTCTCGCGAGCCGTGTACAGCAATATTTGGAACGATTGGCACAGTCGCGGAATGACATATTCGAGGACGCATCGAAGAAGCGAGCGCTACCGAGCGAGCCCACTGATCTTGTAGACAGCGCAAAGCGTGCAAGACTTGGTGTGGACACTCCACCTCAATTAAAGATCCCTCCCATGCCCCCTGGCCCAAATTCTTTTGCTCAGCTCTTCACATTGACCGATGATGTTGGTTTGACATCCTTCGATGTCAAGCAGCTCCCCGCGGATTTAATTGTCAAAATCACCGTTCCAGTTCTTAGTCGAGTTGACCCTGAGGCGTTAGATCAAGCTATTGGTGTACGTATCCTTCGAATCATATATGTCTGCAAGGAGAAAATATGACTGATGTTTTTGATATCTAGGCCGTTCGATCCCGTTACCTCACATTATCCAAGAAACAAATCTTCGAACGTCAGGCCTCGCAGTCTGCCGCTCCGTCAGCAGCAGCAGGAGTAGAAGAGGAAGATGAGTATGAACCAGAATATCAGCCAATGGACATTCCGGCTGCGACACAAGCGCCAGCGGGACCTTCCGCTGCTGAAAACGAAGAATTCCAACCAGATCTTGTCGCCCTTGGTCCTTTTGTACTCCCCCAGCCACCGCCATTATCAGGGTCAGAGGCCGCTGCAATTGGTAAAGGAGCAATTGAAAGGGTTTTTAGCATGATTTCCACCTTAGAGCAACCGTCAAAGGCACTCAAAGGCTCTCAGAAGCCAGGTTTCGGGAGACTGGCTGCCAGCTCATTTGATCGGGACTCTTGGCTAGTCCTACTCACTCGAATGGCAACTCGAGCTTCGGCTGGCCTGGAGGTAGATGAGACGGATGAACTTATTAAAACTGAAGGCGGCCGCCCATCGTTGTCGAACCAACGTATCAGCATGGCAGACGGCATCAGGGAAATGTTATATCGATATGTCCTTGAAGATTTTCGTGTTAGAATCAACGTCGCAATTTCTTGGATGAACGAAGAGTGGTACAATGACCAAATACGACTGAAATATGCAACCTCAGAGAGAAAGAGTGAACATAATGTTAACGTTCCGAAACACTATGACAAATGGGTTATGAGGCTACTAGAAGGCATCTTGCCTTATTTGGACGCGAGAGATAAGGTCCTGATTAGGTTTCTAAGTGAGATACCAGAACTCAGCCCAAAGCTTGTGCAAAAGACGAAGACGTTAGCAAATGACCCTGAACGTGTCACACTATGCGTTCAGGCCCTTCAGTAAGTAAAATGCCGTATCGCTTGGAATAGGTGAATCGATTAATGCTAATAAAACCATAGCTACCTTGTCCTCGTGCGGCCTCCTGCAAGGAGTCTTTGCTTAGATGCTCTCCAAGACCTCTATACAAAAGGTAAAAGAAGAGTCCTAAAGCCTCTCCTCCCTCACGTACCTCATTTCTTTAACCTTTTCCCGTATAATGACATATCTAACCACCCTTACCGAATTATATAGTGGAAGAAGCACGCCCCCTCATTACAAAAATCCTTTTCAAATGGCGACCCCATGCCCTTCCAAAGCAAGACTCTACTTCAAAGCCCAACCCCACGTCGACGCAATCTCCACCCACCGCCACATCGTCTACTGAACAAGGCCAAAGCGCCCACCTCAATCCCACCGCCGTGGCTGGGGATAACACGTCAAATGGTGTAAAGTCAGAGCCAGGAGCTGGCACCGTCGATGTTCAAAACCAGCATGTCAAAGCTGAGCCTGAATCGATGCCAAACTCAATCCAGGGCAGCACACAGCAACAGGAGATGAAAGCCTCGGACGATATGGGGGCTTCGTCATCCACTGCCACCCCCGCACCGAGTTGAAACGCCGTCATCGCCAGACAGCATGATGTATGTGCATTTAACTGGGGAAGGTCTCTGCTGTCTTCGCCTCGTGCTATTCCCCGTTGTATTACTGCTCCATGGACAACTCATTTCATGAAATGGATGGCTGTATGCATTTATCACTTAGACGAGACATATCCAGAGGGTAATGCATATAGATATGCAATTATGAGGATTTGGAAGTAATTTGGAAGTGGAATGACAACAAGAATAGCTGCGATTGGGCGGCAAACCTAGTCAAAGTCAAATATGGAGGTATCTCGGCCAGATTCTCCTGGGTTTGGATTGAGCTGTGCAATTAATTGAAGGTCTCTGTTCCTTTCGCTTATCATCAAAGTAATAGGTTACTAGACATAAGGGGTATAGTGTAGTTATTTCTATGGGGAATCGAGGCGGAGAATGAGATGAGAAAATAGTACTTATAATCCCTAAGAGAAAAGGGTTTGGAAAATATCATTAGAAAAGCCTAGAACACAACATAGGTATCTAGTGAAGGGCAAATAAAGTCATATATAGGAGCAGGCCGTAGGCATGAATATTAAATGGAGTGAGTGGTCTTTCGAGACTCCTTGACGCGGACGAAGCGAACTTCTCGGAGGGAGCGAAGAGGCGATAAAGAGGATCCGTGGTAGAAACCAGCATTATTTAAATTCCGTAGGCCCACGAGCTGGCCGGTGTGATAATACTGAATCAGGTTAATTTGTTTTCATTTGCAGGCTGTGATGCCTTCTGCTTCTGAACCCATTCCAGGGTATACTGCGTGCAAAAGATGTAAGGATCGTGCCCACTCCTCTGCCGTGCTGCATAGCAACGCATCAGAACTTCCTCTGCCTCACCATACTTCTGCTCGATCGCCAGCACCACACCGAGATAATCATTCCAATCCAAAAAGTCCGGGTCCGCGATACCTCCACTCTCCGCTCTGATATTTATCATCTGGCTCAACACCTCATTAGCCCTCTGCCACTTGCCCTGGCCCTTATAGGCGAGCACGATGTTCGTCATGCTGCCTAGCGTGCTAAGATGCGCGGGATTCATCTCCGAAAACTTCATTCCGACAGTGTCATTTAGTATTGCTTCAGCTTCTCGAAACTTGCCTTGGCCACCCAAGACTGCCCCGAGGTTGTTCATGTGGTAGATGGTCGTGGGGTGCATGTAACCTAGCTTCCGCTGAGCTTCGCGATACAAAGGAGTGATGATGGCTTCAGCTTCTGCAAACCTCGATTGCATGATCATCTCTACCCCAGCGTCTTTCAACTTGGTATTGGTCATATCTTTAGACCTCACGTCGCATGTCCAGGGATACCAATTGATCTGCTGAATGATGTGATTCTGGATGAATTCTGTGCGGGCCGGTTCTGTCGTGGGAGGAGCAGAGACCGCACCGAAGGTGATGAATGCTGACTGGATGGGATGCACTAGGGTTATGTCGAATAGGGATATATCGTACTTGTCATGCATAGTACATGACTGCGGGTTTACGATGCGCCTGCCACTATCTGTCTGAGGCGGTGGCGGAGGTGGCCGCTCATGCGGCTGTGGTATTGGGCCGGAGGATATCGGCTTCATATCAAGCATTTGGCTCGGGGGTAGCACATATGGCTCTTCTGCACAATGTAAGCTGCTTAGAACACATCCACGTTATGAGTCCAAGATCGACCCGCAAAGATAAGAGGCTTTCTCTTGATTGGGGGGCTGTAGGCAAGATGAGAAGGATGAAGGGCATTCGAAACAATAGCAGAATCGAATGATCTATCGCATTATTAAAGCTACTCACCAACATTAACACTCTCCCCAGATTGCTCCTTGCGGAAAAGCTTTCGTAGAACCATTATGAGAATGTCTGCTGATGAAGAAGTCGGTTGGACTGGATTCGGAGAGACACTGGCAACGTTCACAAGAAAAATGTCAAATCTCAAGTTGGTTTCTATCCAATAAATTTGGATGATTGTCAGTAAATACCGAGGGAAGGTTTTCATCGGAAACAGGCTGCGCCTGGATATTCATAACGTCTTCACTGCAGACAAACCATCGTTTTTGCTCATGGGCACTACATGCCCAGGAAACTGCCCCGCACATCGCTGATAACTAGGTGTGCGCCCTCGTATTCAGCACTTAGTTCGTCTTGCAAAAAAGCAGGGCATTGGCAGTGGTTGTGACGCATCATTGTGCAAGCAAATCTTGACCTAATCAACACTTCATGCATGGGAGTAGCTTTAGTCGTTTGAAACTGACCCCCGGACCCGTTGCGTTCGTTATGAAGGCATACCTTTCCGGCAGGGCAAACTGTTGCAGGTTCGCCAGCTGCGAACAACGTTAGCGCCAGAGAGAAGCTTGAGTGAAAGGGGGGGAAAACGGAAGTACGTACGTAATTAAGATCCTTGACAGAGCTCTTTAAAACAACTTCCTGGTAATTTAAAGCGCATATTCCATAGGCTCTTCTCGGCTTTCGTATTGCATCACATTAAAAATTCGTCGTATCAAGCTTGTAAACGGTTGCCTGGTGCGGTGTTGGGCTTAGGAGAAAGGCCGACATTTGTTGCATAATGCATGTAAATCAGATCCAAAATGTGCAGACATATAAGATCAAGTGGCATCCATTTGAAAGAAACCAAATGAATAGGGAAGCTAGATAATTAGTGATAAACAGTAATAAATAAAAGTTATTAAGAATGTTCCGCTGGAGCTCCTCTCAGGAAACAGAGAATGTGTAAAATAAATCTATACCACAATTTATAGCCAGCCAATTTTGTTGGCAAAACTGCCAACCATCGTTGAACCGAAAGAAAAGGAGAAAAACGAAATCCCTATCCCATTTATCTTACGGCTTTTGATCTCACAAAAATGAAAGAAAAGGGGGTCTCTGGGCAGTTTCTGACGTCGTGGGAAGGAAACGCATTGTCACAAAAAGAAGAATGAGAAGAAGAAAAATGAGAATCCGCATGCACATTTCACAAAATGGAGAACTAAAAACGACAAATTTGAAGATAAAATAACAGTATAAAAACAAGAACAGGAACAAAGCAGGAAAGAAAAAAAGAAATCAAGAAAGAGAAGGGAAGGCCAAAAAGGATAATGTCTATTCGGTTCTCAAAACCCTTGGCCCTCGCTTCTTCAATGCTTTCTTCTTCTTGTGGCCCTTGTCGAACGCGGCGGCACTATTATGGTCTCGCCCAACGTTATCAAGGTCCTTGACCTTGTAAATTCTGATGATCCAGTTTTCGCTGGTGAAAGCTTCGTCGAGCGTAGTCAACTGGGGCCCTTGAGCTGGAAGACGCACACCACGCACACGATCTGCCGCTTCGCCACCAGGGAAGAGGGCGTTGAAGTTGTAATAAGACATTTTATACCTAGATGGGCGGGTTTGTCAGTGGGATGGATTGCAAAGAAATGGAGCTTCAAAAAGGGCAAAAAATAGAATAAAAATATAAATGAAAAAGGAGAAAGTAGATGGGCTGTGGCCGTTTAAACTGTCAGGAAAGGGGTGGAAAAAAGAAACCCACATTAGACTGTTCCGCATGGTTGGGGTCGCTTCTTCATCGACGCGGTATTCGCCTCTGGCAGTGAAGAAATCACGTTCCTTCACTTCATCTGGCCAAATGCCTTCGGCAATACGAACCATCCATAGGAACTTATTGAGATCATCGCCAGAGTATCCCAGCAATCCGCCAAAGACGATCAACACGTAATCAACATCGTGTTGCCGGAGGATGGGATAGCTGACTTCCTCGCGCGAGCTCATTGCTTTGCCGACAGTTGCAATATGGGTGTTATTCCATGTGTTGTTATCGACAAGAGTAGGGCGATCAGCCATGCCGCCAATCTGATAACCATAATCCCACCACGACATGATCTTAGCGTTCTCGGGGGTATTTTGGCGTAGCCAGTAGTAGGCTTCACGGAAGTCGTCAATGATGAATTGACTTCCGTCTAGTAATTTACTTGCCAGAACAACAGAGGGGGATGAGTATGCGTTTGACGTCACCCAAGTACAATGAGCCACAAACAAGAGAAGGTAGACAATGACGGATGTAGATATCAATCCCTTTGAAAGCTTGGAGTGAATGCCCACAACCTGCTTCCGTGCAGAAAGGAGACCGCCTTGGGATGGCTTGTCGCTGTCATCCGGCTCTGGTGGAGAGGTAAGGAGGTAGGTATCCAGGATGTGCGACAGAACCATTGCGGCTGCTACGCAGACAATGGGTGTGAGGGTAAGCATCAATCGCACCATTACACCGGCGAAGTAGCTCGCGAGGACGGCATAGATAATAACGAACACGTGCTCGTCCTTTAGTTTGCGGAAGCACAAATATACACCGGCCGGGAAGAGCCAGATTAACATGTTAAGGTCGAAGAAGAATGCAGGCCAAGCTGTTGGCTGATGCTCAGAAACGGAAGCAATAATCGGGATATGGATTTTAGCATAGCCGGTATCCCACAGAGAGTAGAACCGGCCACTCCAGGGGGCGATGACACCCGAGACGGTGAGAAGGACAAGGCCAAGGAAGGAAACGCCGAAGATGAGCAATACCAAGCTCGTTAGTAGGGTTTGGAATTGTTTCCCTGGTACCTGGCTACGAAGGAACTCCACAAATGCCACCACCTGGATGAGGCCGAAGATTCCTACAGGAGATCAGCTTTGCTCCTTAGAATCTATCTTGAACCATAGAGAACATACCTAATGCCGACATGTGATCACTGCTTCGAATAGGCAGGAATCCGACAAAGGGGATTTGCATGCTGGCTAAAGTCCCCAGCGCATACCAGGTGGTGTAGCTGATATAAAGGCGCGAACTGTATCGGCCCATACATATAAGTACAAAGACGTGAAGGGGAATCAAATTAGTAATGAAGACATATCCGCCCCAGGCAGATACCATGTATCCATAAAATAAAGCCGTCAGTACACCCCACATAATTGATCCGTTCTTCACTGCCTTAATCCAGAGGAAAAATGTAAAGACGAGAAGGAAGATCGCAATAGCTTCATTGTCGTAACTACCAGCGACGGAGCGAGAAATGTAACCTGGGACAATACCCATGAAAGCTGCAGCAAGAAGCCCAGCTGATGGTGACGGAGACATTTCGCAAGTAAGAAGATACATGGCTATGGCCGTCAAGCCAGAGAAGCCGGGAGCAAGCATCACGCAGATGTTTCGGATATCAACTGGAATCGAGAGGAATCGAAGAATATGATATATGACACCGCTGGTAACCATTAAACCAGGGTATAAAGTACCACCAGTAACACGCCCAAGGGGGTGCCATGTCCCTAATCACAAAATACACATTATTTAGGTTTTGGTCCAGCAGAGTTGTAGCCCTCAGGTATAGCTTGTTAGGGGCTGCCTTACGGTCATCGAACCAGTCCCAGAAGCGGTAAAAGCCATGCTTCACAAGATATTTAGTTGCTCTGAAATTGAACCAAGGGTCGACTATAGCATAGACGCAGCATCAGCATGTATTCCTGTTGAACGGATAAGAACGAATAGCTCGACCGGCGGGGGCTTATATTGGGGGCGAGAGTGGTAGTCCAAGCAGCCACGCAACATACACTCGTGTATTATACTCTCAAATCCTGCATTAAACACAATTGGTTAGGATTGATGCGTACTCCTTCGAATTACACATATAATGCAAAGCACAAAAAGAGTGTATTGTTATCTTACTTATCACGCTAAAGAGTCGACTGGAAACAGCAGCAGCGGCGATGAGCACCAGAATGGTAACACGGAGCAGGCCTCGAGAGTTGCTTGAGGCAGCGCCCTTCAGAACGGGCTCAATTGCAGCGGTGGCCATACTGGCCTAAATCGTAAAGAGACACAACAAGATTGGCTAGGGCAAAATATGTCGCCTTTGTTGTTGTGTCGAGCTGTACTAAATGAGTATACATAGTAAGTTGGGTGTTGGAAGCTCTCCACGCCGCAAGGTGTTCTCTCCGGCCTTGGCATCACGTTGCGGCCTGAGGCTCTGCGGGAACCATGCCAATGAACGCGCCGCCTTCCCCACCACCAAAACTATCAGACACTGCTCTTTATTCCGCTCCGTACATCATCCAAACTTCCACCGCATCTTCTCAGTTATTCTCCTCATTAATTAGCTATTTAATACTCATTACCCCTTGGTTTATTTCTTTTTGCGGTGAATTTTAAGTGATTAATTAGCAGGCGAATTTGTAATATTCAAGATGGTGTCCCTGGAGGATATCACCCAGTTGCTCGCAACCGCCCCACCATCAGCGGTTCTTCTACAAACGCTTATGGAGCTCGAAGGAGACGTCAGTTTAACGTTTGGAGATACTCATATGGCCAGCGACACGGGATTCCTAAGCACATACTATTCCTCCTACCTATTCGCCCTCCTTCTCGAAGATGAAATGTGCGTTTGCAGAAATCGAACAAAACATCCCTACTTCTACGGCTCTTGACTAATCGTTCCTCTGCAGTAACGAAGCACATATGCTGACGCGTAGGATACCAGAGAGTCTCGTGAAAGTGGACGCTACAATACAAAGCGCCATGTCCCTCCTTCGAGCAGTATGGAACAAGAGCTACGAGAACATATACCGCATCATCAGAACGACACAATGGCCACAAAGCATTAAGTATCTAGTTCAACAATACCAACGTACGTATAAAGAGACAAACCGCCTGCCCATGTGTTGCTTCGATTAATTGTTGTACACAGTTTTCTTCCAAAATAAAACCTTCCAAGATATCAGTCTTGCCTACGGATCAATCCGGCCGTCGACCGCTGCTCTCTATCTAGGTCTTGATTCCATAGGGGAAGATACAATGAGTGATAGCGCGGATAGCACAGGTCCAGAGCTGGTTGAGCTGCTCATGGGGAAAGGCTGGGAATGGGATGCGGAATCGAAGTTATTCTCTCCGAAGGTTACGACTCAGGTGCCGAAGGTAACTGGTTCGGGAGGAGCGGCAATCGGGCATCTGGCGGCACAACTAAGAAGTCATGGCGATTGAGATATAATTTTCCCCTGAAGAGGTTCAGATGATTGTAATGAGAGACGAAAAACGAAAAACGAGAAAACGAGGGTCGAGAGATGGGCAGTGGGAGACGAGAAGCGAGGGGACCTATGGGTACGGTGGAGGTGCGGTGATATTCTGCAAGGCAGAATGAACATAGGTTCCGTCACGTAGAGGCCAGTAGCCAAACCGCGTTTGCCGAAGACGAATCTTCTCGAATTTCGCCATCTTCCTCTTACCCATTAATGATAGTCCACATATTTCTATTCTCCTTCCTCCGGACGTGACGCGCTTGGTTCTACGGCGTTTTATTTTCGGAAAAGGTCAAAGATTCGTGGATTCTCAAAAAACTGGATAGAACTTTAAGACGCCATCTGGGATATGTACAGAATGAAATAGAAAACTGAGGAATGTCTTTTTTCTCGCCTTTTGCACACAGAAGATATGGGCCTTGGTTACACGATATAAATAATACAAAAGGATGTTCTCCAACCACATACTCTCTCGGATATATATGGCGCTCGCTCATGTCCTTTTTTATCTGTTGGTCATTTTTTAGGAGTTTGAGGTACTCTCTTTCGCTGTCGAGTACCGCGGAGCAAGTACCTTTCACCGAGCCATCTCGTCGCTAATGCCTCCCTCATCAGTCGTCCGCCTCCCCCTCCGCCTCCGACGTTTTCGTTCATTATTTCGCCATTTCGGCAGCTTTTCATATTTATGAACGCTTCGAGGTCGAATCTCTTATCTTCCGGATCGGTTATAACTATTTATATTATCTGTTAGCCGCAGTCTACGAAATGGCAAGCATCATACAAAAGCAGAGAAAAACATGTGTCAAAAGTGGATACTCCACCCTTGCCAGAGCTTTCTTTAGAAATCATTTAACGTACCTCCACTGCTCGTTGTCTTAGTTTCTGTTGGCGCATTCTTCTTTGAATATTCTGCCCGCGCTTGCTCGATCAATGATTCTTTGCGGCTGTATTCGCGATCTATCTGCGCCTGTTTGGCTTGTGAAGTGAGGGACGATTGGTGGTAGAGGCCATAGAAAACGCCAGCAAAAAGGGCGGAGTAGCGTAGCACCTAAAAATGCGTATGTCTGATTAGCACTGGGCTCAAGGTTATCTCTATCGACTTGCATATCGGGGCGGAGAGGGAACCCAGATAGTGAAATTTTTCGTGGAAAAGCTGGACCCACGTTGACACCTTGCGAAGCAGCCATGGCGATTGTATTGTGCAGTCCCAGCTACAGGAGAAGAAAAGAGACAAAGAAGACTGCTGTCGCAATGAACCTCAGTCTCTAAAGTGGCAGGACAGTTTGCGGGCGATCAATGGCTTCCGGCAACGATGTTGATAGCGAGTCAAGAGACTTGATCAGAGTCGGCCCTGGGGGTCAGAAAGTTCCGGAGTTGACTAAGCATAGTTTATCCGGCCGGTTGACCAGGGCTGCTGACTAAGACAGTGCCGCGCCTTGTCCAACCGCGATATAAACCAGGGAGTAAAGGAGAAGTAAATAATCATATAAACACTATCCACCTCGTCACTCGTACATATACAGTGCCAGTTTCAGAGCACGGATATATGACAATGCAGCAACGGAAAGATGAGATTCTGGCCAAGAAGGCTAAACTTGCTGAGCTCAGGCGACAGCGCGAATTGCGACAAAAGGAGTTCTCACAGAACAGGCAGAGCATTGGAGAAGGAGGGTCGGAGGTGAGCAAGCTCCTGAGCTTCTCAGCTCGTCGCATTTACTCTGTGCTGATACATAATACATTTAGCAGATTCTAGCTCCGACTCCCGGCCGTTCAGACAGCAGAGCAGAGCTCAATAGTTTAATTTCTCGGCTGGTCGATCGGCCTTCATCCGCAGCCTTAAGAGACGGCGGAGAATCACCCAGGGGTCGAGGAAGTAGACCCAATTCCGTCCTCAGTGCCGGCCAACTGAGCGGAGAAATTCTCGAATCAGTGACTCCTCCAGCTAGACCTGTATCTTTATCAATTGCAACGCAAACCACGCCTTTCCCCGCTGCTGAACTCCCCACCCCTGAAGCTGTCCCACTACCCAAGCCAGAGGTTGTCACCTACAGCAAAGGTGTCCAGACAGACTCATGGATTGAACCTAGAAGCCGGTCTGTAGATGGCCATTCTGTCTCGGAAGATGATAGCTCTCCCACAACATCACGCGCAAATAAACGGTTAAGTCGGAGACAGCAGCGTGAACGTGATGAGGAAATACGGGAGAGGCTCCGAAAGGAGATTGAGGAGGAGGTGCGATCTGCAAAAGGAATGGCGGGCGAAGGAACTGCACAGCAATCAACAGATATAAGATATCCCTTACGGACGCTTACGAGTGACGAACTCAATGCGGTCACCTCATCCAATGATTTCCTGGACTTTGTGGATAAATCCAGCAGAGTCATAGAAAGGGCGTTGGATGAGCAATATGACGTCCTAACAGACTACGCGTTAGGTGGAGTAGGTGCAAACGGCCCCGACGAGAACGACGAATATGGCAATAGTAAGAAACGAAGAGGCATAGAGGAGCTTGTCCAGTTTTATGATGAACGATGGAGCAAGAAGCGCATGATCAGTGATATCAACTTTTCTCCGAAGGTGAGTCCTGACCATTTTATATATACTAGAAGCTCTAGATCGGGGTTAATACTAAAATATCTTGATGCATAGTTCCCAGAACTGGTACTAGCTTCATATACAAATAACGTCACTGCGCCCCACGACCCCAATGGCATAGTACAAGTATGGAATCTCCATCTCCATTCCAGGCCGGAATACGTCTTCCACTCAATGTCTGACATCTTGACTGCGAAATTCTCCCCTTTCCACCCAAACCTCATCGTAGGCGGCTCCTACTCTGGTCAAGTCCTATTATGGGACACCAGATCATCGCGGGCAGGGGGCGGCGCCCCCGTCCAGAAAACCCCCCTAACAGGCTCCGGCCACACCCATCCAGTGTACAACATCTCCATCGTCGGCACCCAAAATGCCCATAACATCATCACTGCCTCGACCGACGGCGTCGTGTGCGGCTGGACAGTCGACATGCTCTCCCAGCCCCAAGAATACCTCGAACTCACCACCCCACCCCCGTCCAAAACCGAAGACCTCGCGCCCACAACAATGACATTCCCCCAATCAGACCCAACCTTCTTCCTCGTCGGCACCGAAGAAGGCGCCATATACCCATGTCACCGCTACGATCGCGCAGGCGCCAAAGCAGGAACCGACCATCGGCTTTCCTACCGCGGCCACGCGGCCCCCGTCATGTCCACCGTCTTCCACCCAGCCCGCGGCGCCGTCGACCTAGGTGACCTGATGCTCAGCTCCAGCTTAGACTGGAGCGTGAAACTCTGGCGCGTACGACCGCCCGCCGTCACCTCCACCTCGGGCACGTCCGCCACCACACCCGCACAAGTGGTCTCGCCCGTCCTGGAACTGAATCGCGAAGACGTCGTGTACGATGCGCGCTGGTCCCCGCATCGACCTGGTGTGTTTGCCCTTGTCGACGGCGCGGGATCTGTTGAAGTGTGGGACCTGTGCACGGACACGGAGGTGTATGCGGCGCGCGCGACGCCGACGAAAGCGCGCAATGCGGTTATTGAGCAGAGTTTGAATAAGGTTGCATGGGAAGAGAGGGATGGGCGGCGCCTGGCAACGGGTGGGCTTGATGGCGTGCTGACGGTGTTTGAGGTCGGGAAGGACTTGAGTGGCGGTCCCGATGAGGTGCCTGCTGAGGAGTGGTCGGCTATGAAGAAGCTTGTTGCAAAACTGGAGCAGGGCAGGGATTGAGTGTCATTCTTCTCCTTACCTCCTCTCCCTTTTTCTCATTTCTTTTCTTTTCTCCTTTTTTCCCGGATCGATTTGTGTATCTTTCTACCATCTTGCCATTAAAGTATGCTCTGTTTATTTAGCGTTCTTTCCCCATTTTCCAGTTTTAATAACTCCACATTATTATTTTCCCTTCGAGAAAGCCGCCATCAACACGCCATGAATACCCACAGTTTTCTAACCGATACCTTCTTTATATTAACTAGTTCTAAATTTACGTCCTTTTTGTTTTTCCTTTTTGCCCTCCTCGCTGAATCCTGAAAATCGCGAAACCACAACCGTAGCTAGCTTCTTCTTAAGAATAACCAACTACTTGATATATTGCCTACAATACAAACGAAAATATATCCATAGAAGCCCAAAGTTCTGTTTACGAAGAAAAAAGAAAAAGAAAAAGAAAAAAGAAAAAAAAGAAAAAGAAAGAACTTATTAATATGTAGAGGTTAAGCAATTTCGTGACAGTTTCTTTGAGAATAAACCAAGTCCTGGTTTTGTAGGGGATGGAGTGATGACCTCAAAAATATAGAGGTGTCCTGGGTATACATACATACTATATATATATATTTAAAAACAGCTCAATACGTATAGCGGAACCCTTCCTGCAGACAGAAGAGCGATTAGCATGATCCCCTGAAAACACCTGGAATGGAGAGAGTACATGTAATGTACATACCACTCCCTCAATCAGTTTCCCGCTCGTCCTTTGCTGCCGGTTCATGACGTAGAAGTACGTGGAAAACGCGAGAATTATCGCAATCATAAGAACGTGGGAACTATCGATGGTTTATGGTGTGTTAATTCTAGGTAGAATCAAAGTTATGAAAACAAAAGGTGGAAAAAAGAAAAAAAAAAAAAAAAAAAAAAACAACTTACCCTATAGAAACCCAAACCGCCGTCCCATAAGTCGGAGCCTCACTAGATTTCACAATAAAGCTACCCGCAATGCCGCCTAGGCCATTACAAGCCGCCACAGACGCAGCCACTGTAGCCCTCTTCCACTGCCCGACGATATTGTTCGCCTGGTAAGCGTTCAGGGCTGCCCAGTTGGAGACGTAGGCGCCGGTGGCGAGGAATATGCCGATATAGCGGACTGTGACTTGCTGCGAGGCGGGAAGGCCGAGCATTAGGAAGCCAGCGATTAGGCTTAGTGAGTTGAAGAAGATGAGGGGGCCGTGCAGGCGGAGTTTATCACCAAGTAGAGATGTGAGGAGGACGGGGATTACGGCGTAATAGTACGGCTTGGGGGTTGCTGTTAGTTAAATGTTGAAATTTCAGGATATTTTGGAAGATACTTGGGAGGATGGTTGAAAATATGTAGGTTATTGGGGGAGGGGAGGCTTACAGGTGCAGATAGCAAAATGGATTTATTTGTATCAAAGCCCATGCCTCCTTGGAGGAGAATAGGGAGAAAGTACGAAAGGGAAGTCGAGACCAGGTTTAACAGGAAAAACAGACAGCTGAATCCGTACAGTTTAAGATCGAGAAAATTAACGAGGATCTTGGATATGAAAAACGGCTCTGGAATCGCATCTTTCCTGTCTTTCTGGATCCGCCCTGTCGCTATCCCTGTTTGCTCCTCAGTAAAGAAACAAAAGCTATGATGTGCATTTTCTGGAAAATCGATCATCCACCAATACGTGATGACGCCGACGAAGATAGTTATCAGCCCGTTTACCAAGAACATCCACCGCCAGCCTTCGAGTCCTGCTCTACCGCCAAGATGGTTCAAGCCGTAATTCATAATGTTCCCGGATGCCAGGACTAAGACCTCCCCAGCCTGGAGGAAAGCGAAACGAAGCTGCTGCTCCTCCCGCGTATACCAGGTACTGATCAGATATGTCAGCCCTGGATAGATTCCGGACATCGAAATGCCCAAAAACACCCGGACAACAATCATTTGCCTCCAGTTCTGTATGAAGGTCGTGCACAAGGTAATCACCCCGAAACAGACAGTGATTAGGGAGAACCATCGCCGGGGCCCGACGAAGCGCACTGCAACCGTCGACGGAAGCTGAAAAACAACACTGGATATGGTGAAAATGAAGATCGCTACTGAATAACGGTTTCCCTCCAGTGATAGATCGGATATCATGCTTGTCACGGAAGCCGAGGAGATGATGCCAGAATCCAAGAGATTCAAACTACATAGGATCCCAGAAATGGTACACAGTCGGATATCTACCTTCCGGCGCAGTTTGCGTTCCAGTTGCAGACTGTTCTCCCTATCTAACATTCGGTTTGTTGTTGCAACGGGGGGAATATGGTCTTCTCCACATAACCCCTCCAGAGGGCTATCTATCGACGAAACCCTAGCGGAGGCGGGGAATTTCAACCCCATCCCCAATTGGTAGAGCGATAGCTGTCTTTTAAATGTAGCTAAAGTGGTAAGTGTCAAATGTTGGCACAACTGCTACCAATAGGGTAGCGAATGTCGTATTATTATATAGAAAGCTCTTTTGGCACGGGTACAATCAAGCTTTGACTTCGGGATGTGATCGGGTGGCCGAGGTCCACAAAATCAGTCCCGAGTCGGCATGTTAGAGAGCATGTTGTAAGCGGATGTTGAGCGATCGACACAACCAACCGGGAATTATCTTTTGAATCCAAGGTATGCTTGTAGGACAAATTCGAAAATTGTGTCTGTTTCGTAGCACCTGGTGGCCACGGGCAGTATTTAGCTGAGTGGGCGGCTACGGCCAGCTAACCCGAGCCCAAATTCAAACTTTCGAGCTCCATAGGGGTTTTCTACCGGCTCTTGCAATAGTTTGTTTCCTTGTCTTCACCGTATTTCTTTATTTTTCTTGCTTGTAGTAGTTCCTGTCGTCGTTGATATATTCATGTATTATTGTATATGGGCGTGGTTGCCCAAAAACGGATAGGGCAAGGGCGGTCACTGGACCTGTGGCATGAGTCAGCCAAGAACCCAAACTAACGGCAGGCAGCTTATTATAACAACATTTGTTTTTCAAGTGTACTCCGTATATAAGCTTAATTCCACTTAACAACTCATTACGCTATACTCCGTAGAGTACGGAGTATATTGTGCGTAACCACACACCAATTACACCAATTAGTAGTTATACGATTATATATGGTTTAGTTCATATTGGTCCTTCTGTCTATGAGCTCCATCCCACAGATCTCTAGAGAATCCTCCCAGGTATAAACCCCTCCCTGGGTATAAACTCCCCCTATAGAGCGCCCCCAGGAATAGAGCTCCCCCGGGTATAGATAGAGTCCCCAAGGTATTGGACAAGTCTAGAGCCAGGAAGCAGAAAACTTGAAGACCTTGATTACTAATAATACAATCTGTAACGTTAGTTAGTTAACGTTATCATAGATATGTGCTCATTGTACCACTAGTATAAAATACCGATTTGACCCAAGTGTCTCTCAGCGGCCAGCTCCAGCCATGGTTGAACGAACCAATATTGCGCTTGTTATTTCCCTTTTTTGCCTCAACTTGGATGAACCGTCTGTCGGCAAGCAAGCCAAAACCATCGCGAGACTCGCCAAGAGCACACTACACCTCTCTCAATAGTAATAGCTTACAGAGCTTGTCCCCTCTCCAACCACGCACACTTAGCTTCATTAACTATTGTTCAAGCGGCTTGCATCTAGCCTTTGATCACCCGGTGACGTCTTTGGCCTGTGTCTCCCCCGCTACCTACGCGGTGCTCGGGCAAATGGAGCCTAAGCAGGGCCCGTTCGACGTCTCCTCTCTCCGCGCAAGCAGGATTTCCACCAACATAACAAAAGGGAGAGGAGGAGAGAATAATATATTATTATAAGTGCAACCCCTACTCGCATGCCCCTGCTTACTGACGTATGATTCTTTGAATCCACATTTAAACCCCCTTGCTCTTGTCAACCCGCTCTGTTTCGAGTTTCATCCTCCTCCCGCCACCTCATTAACCATTCTCTCCTTCTTGACCCAGCTGGTATTGTTAGAAAACACCACTAACGGGGAATCATATTTGGTTAAAACACTGGAATCTGCAGATATAGCTGAGTGGTCGTTGCTTTCAGATCTCCTTGGAATCTACTTCAGTCGAAACACGCCAAGTCGGGAAACATGGTTGAATACATTCCACCCCCCGATTCTCGGTCCCTCATTCCTCCTCTCCTCGCTTGCATTGCTACTGCGTTTGCCTCTCCCAATCCGCCTCCCGCGTTGCTCCCATTGCTTTCTCCAACCCTTCGGCAGCGTGTACAGATCCTCAGCTCTGTCTCACAATCTCCGTCGGATTCATGGCTACGATTATTATGTTGGGACGCCGGGAAAGCAGAACGGCTACAGAACATTGTCGATGGCACGACATTTGAACCGCATCCTGTTTCTGGGGAAATTGAGATCCCAGATGATGTCCCGATCACGTACAAGCGATTAGACTTGGAAACCCTTCGATCGCAGTTCTCCATCCCCGACTATAACCTTTCGGTGTTGTATGTCTGGTGTCCTGTAGATCCAGAAGGAAGCGGGCCAGGTTGGAGGGTTGCAGAGGTATTGCCAGGCGATGCTCTGCAGGAGGAGGCGGGTAGCTGGTCAAAATCTATTGAAGAAGCTGATGAATATCGACAAACGAAAATTCTGCAAGACGCATTACAGGAAGCAGAGGATGCTGAATCTCGAAAGTCCGCCTCCAGTATTACCCAAAGCCGTGTGGTGAAACCAGAGAAGGAGGACGAAGACGATGATGACGGTTACTGGGCGCAATATGACAATACCCCAGGCAGGACTCCGTTAAAACGATCTCCTGCTCCGACCCAGCTTCAACCCAACGGTCTTGGCCCAGGACCATACCCAACCGCTTCAGATTCCTACTTCGCCAGATACAACGGGGTGCAACCAGCGTTGGACAATGATGACCCGTCTGTCGATCAAAGCGAGATAGGACAGTCGACATTGAACGGCGATACTATTGCTTCTGTCCTTCGACGACAGTCAGAAGCCATGCTGACTGACCGACCAACTGGTGCCGCCCTCTATGGTGATGACAACGACAACGACGAGTCTCACGCAAGGCCCCACATACCTTTGAACCACCCAAGACCTTCGTCAGCATCTTCCTCTGCCGGCTCAGAAACGGTTAGCAAACTAGAGAAGACAGCAGAAAGTCAGTCAATCTCGGAAATTGGAGTGAAGCAACACATCTCCTCGAACATCAAGAGTCTTTTTAGGTTGGCAAGGACGACGGGATTGTCTAGGGCAGAGTTTGAATCGATCGTCAGGAGAGAACTGGACTGCCTCTCCTTGATAGATGTGGATGACTATGATGAATGAGCAAAGCGTTTGTAGGAGCTTTTTTCTTTTGTATCTCGCGCATTTTCATAGCGGATAGCATTCCGTCCGCATCTATACCATAAGCATGTATAACTACCATTTTGCGGAGTATATATATTTATAGCTAATTGGATATTTTGATTTGATTGTGCATGTTTTGAGGGCAATTAGCTGTAATTACGCCGCATGTATAACTATCATATGCATTGCGTGTGTTTAGCGAGACAGGAATGCAAATCAATATACCCATCAATATCGATTATCCAATATTACAGCGTGCTCTTGCAGTGTAATCAGTACTCCGTACATCAGCAGCGATTGGCTATGTTCCTTGGTCGAGTTTCCAAGGACACCAACCAAGCTCCTTTTAGCTAGTTCGGCTGGGTTGTCGCCGAGAAACCAAACCAACCACGTCAACCTTAACTACTGCGTAACTCTATCGAGTATCTTATTTTCGCAAATCCTCCTATCTGTGCATCCAGCAGCAACCCTTCCGCCAGAGCAAGCAGTTCTTTTTCTCTTCTTATTTTCTCAACACTCGTTTATCATGCCAATTTAATTAATACCCTTTTTACCCTGTGAGTTGGTGGTGTAAGCCGTCTCTTTTTCATTTTGTTTTCTCTCACTCCGTAAGTGCGCGGAATTGCCTTTGGCTAACGTGTCTTTCCTGCTATCTCAGTTATATATATACCTATTCCTTCGACTCTCCTTGTTTCTGCGGGTAAACCATGTCTTCTCCACCCCCAAGCCTCCAACAGCGAGGGGGGAAGAAAACGCCCGCCGTCAAGGAGCCACAACCGAATCCCCCCTCAGCCAAATCGAACCCGCACAAGAAGGCCGTAGCAAAACCCGCCGCGCAATGGGATTATAAAGCCGCCTTGGTGATATTGACGTTGCTGGCGTTCGCAACGCGTTTTGCGAACATAAGTTTTCCGGACGAAGTTGTGTTTGATGAGGTCCATTTCGGAAAGGTTAGTTAGTACCTGCCTCTAGGGAAGGCTTGGATGTGTAGCAGAAAATGCGGCCTGCACAAGCACCACTCGGTAGTGTAAGATAGGAAAGCTGATACATCTTGTATTACTATTGATAAGTTTGCTTCGCACTACCTTCAACGCACCTATTTCTTCGATGTTCACCCGCCGTTTGGCAAGCTACTCTTTGCCTTGATGGGCTGGCTTGTGGGCTTCGATGGCCACTTTCTCTTCGAGCACATTGGAGATTCATACATAGAAAACAAGGTCCCCTATGTTGCCCTGCGAGCCATGCCAGCGATCCAAGGCGCTTTGACGATCCCTGTGGTTTTCCTAATTATGTGGGAGTCTGGCTACTCCCTCCCAGCCTGTGTCCTCTCCGCGGGATTGGTCCTGTTCGACAACGCGCACATTGCTGAGGATAGATTGATCCTTCTTGATGCAACCCTGGTGCTGACCATGGCGCTGAGCATCCTCTGCTACATTCGATTTTACAAATTCAGACACGAGCCGTTTGGCCGCAAGTGGTGGAAATGGCTGCTTTTGACTGGTGTCGCGCTAAGCTGTGTTATTTCGACTAAATACGTGGGCACGTTTACGTTCCTCACTGTTGGAGCCGCTGTTGCCATTGACCTGTGGGATCTACTTGATGTGAACCGCCCCGGAGGCGCTATCTCTCTGGTCAAATTCACCAAGCATTTCGCTGCCCGAGCTGTCGCCTTGATCATCTTGCCGTTTTTCTTTTATCTGTTCTGGTTCCAGGTTCACTTTGCCATTCTCAGCAAGTCTGGCCCAGGTGACTCCTTCATGTCCCCAGAGTTCCAACAGACTCTCAGCGATAATCCGATGACGTTGAACTCGATTGGGATCAACTATTACGATCAAATAACTATACGGCACAAGGATACCAAAACATATCTGCACAGCCATCCGGAGCGCTATCCATTGCGTTATGATGACGGCCGTGTCTCTAGCCAGGGTCAGCAAGTTACTGGCTACCCTTACAATGACACGAACAACCACTGGGAGATCCTTCCGATCACTCCATTCGATGTTAACGACCGTCTCGGACACCCTGTTAAAAATGGGGATATTGTCCAACTTCATCATATGGGCACAAACACTATTCTGCTAACTCACGACGTGGCTTCCCCCTACTATCCCACAAACCAGGAGTTCACCACCGTTTCCCCTGAGCTGGCAAATGGCGAGCGCCGCAACGATACCCTCTTTGAAATCAAGATTGAGAAAGGAAAAGCCGGGCAGGAGTTTAAGACCATGTCTAGTCATTTCAAGCTTGTCCACGTGCCTACGAAAGTCGCCATGTGGACGCATACCACGCCCTTACCCGAGTGGGCGTTCAAACAAGCCGAAATCAACGGCAATAAAAACGCGCAATTGTCCAGTAACATCTGGTTTGCGGAAGATATCCCATCCCTCGAGCCAGGACACGAGAGGCTGAAGAAGCAACCCCGCGCAGTCAAGCAAATGCCGTTTATCGTCAAGTACCTAGAACTACAACGGGCGATGTTCTTCCACAACAATGCCCTTACCAGCAGCCACCCGTATGCCAGCGAACCATTCCAATGGCCCTTCCTCCTTCGCGGAGTAAGCTTCTGGACCAAGAATGCTACGCGTGAGCAGATTTATTTCCTCGGGAACCCCATTGGCTGGTGGTTTGCCAGCGGTCTCCTCGCCGTTTTTGCCGGAATTGTCGGTGCTGATCAGCTCTCCTTGCGTAGGGGGATTGATGCCCTGGAAGAAAGTAAGTTCCGTTAATATAATTGTGGCGCCGCATCACATACACCCCAAACAGCCCCCTCAGCACAGAATTTCTATTCCTTTTATATACACTATACTAACCACCTTAATTTCTAGTCTGGGGACCAGGCACACGCGCACGCCTCTACGGCAGCACGGGCTTCTTCTTCCTCTGCTGGGCGGCTCACTATTTCCCCTTCTATCTCATGGGCCGCCAACGCTTCCTACACCATTACCTACCAGCGCACATCGCCTCCGCCCTCGTTGCCGGCGCACTAATCGAATTCGTCTTCAACATTGATCCCATAATCGCCAGCGACGACACCAACAAAAATGGAGACAGCAATTCGACTGCTGTTGCCGGCCAAAAATACCAGAAGCCCAAATCACGGTTGGGTCGGCAGAGTCTGATGGCTTCGTGGGCGGCTGTTGTTGCGATTCTGGGCGCGACGATATATGGGTTCATCTTCTTTGCGCCATTGACGTATGGACGGCCTGGACTTGATCCCGCGAGCGTTGTGGCGAGGCAGTGGCTATCATATGATTTGCATTTTGCGAAGTAAGAATGTGAAAGAAAAAAAAGGCATGTGTTTGTTTTGTGTATTTCCTAGCCAGATTTTTGCGTGGTGGTACAGGTTCGTTTTTTGAGCGGACCATTTGAGGTCAGGGGGAATATATATTATCTCTATATCTTGGATTTTTGTCAGGAGAAGAGCCTTCCCTCCGACCTCACTACTGCCTGATGCATGCATATAACTGAGCCCACTGCTAAAGATGTGGACGGTGCATAACATATTTTTTTTGCATTCGTCGTGGCGCTTTCACATTATCAATCCTGCAAATCATCATATCGAGCTCCAGGTTGGGGGTGAAGGGTAAAGAGTTCAATACTGGTTGTAGATGTTGCGTGTTTGCGGTGAAATCTCTTTTCATTTTCCTACGGTTTAATAAATTATTAGATAGCCAATGTATTGTACGATCAAAAGGAGAAGCTAGATTTTAGTTCACCAGTCTTTGCGTGTTTAAGCCCTGCATAGCATATATAGTATCCCAACCTATCAGTCACAGTGGAATCTGGCTTCTCCCTCTCCTAATGGAATGCGTTTCAATACTTTTCTCTTCCTGCTCAAGGGGGCTATGCTGTACAAAAGCGCTCGATTTATTACTGGACCTGTGCATGAACCATATCCTAACTCAAACAAGTACCTTGTCTTGTCGAATAGTGGGGAATGAGCCGGAAATAGTCCCTGGGCCTAAAACTTTGGGAATAGTAAAGAATTAACGTTAAGCCTTTGGTTGAGCCGTGCAAGTCCAAGCGGCCTCCACCACTCCGAAGTCAGGATTCAGGGTCGGCCTTCACCACTCCGGAGGCGGAAGCAAACCTCGGAAAGCCGGGGGTCTTGGCAGTGGAGCGGCGAAGTCTTGCTGCCAAGACCAATGACGAAATCGGTGGGAAGCTGCTGACAAAAGAATAGGTCAGCATAACTAATAAATCGTCGCGGGCGGCCTTGGGAGTGATATTTAGAGTACCATTCACCAAACATCTGCTTAGAAAATATATTGCAGTACATGCTCTAGGAAGATGTTCTTGGGAAGACCCTTCTGGCACCATTGAGAAGATCGCAGAAAGTTTGTGCTCGAAAACTATATAAACACCACGGCAGGTCCATGAAGCTCCTTTTCTCCATTCTAACTTGCGTCACAGCAATTGTCCTATTTTACTCCTTCGACGATATCAAGAACTTGGCTACCATTCAGATTCTCTCGTCTTCGGAGCGAAGCTCTACCACGACGTCTAGATTAGCTCCAGAAAACATACTACCTCTTACCCCACCAATCACACTACAAGCGCTATCCGACATGTCCATACCGCGCGCAATCCGCACCGCTTTCGTCGCCGTTGAGCAAGCGGAGGGCGCAGGTGCCCGCGTCCGCAGGTCAATCGGGACTCCTAAATTGCGAAACTTCAGCCCCTTCCTCCTCCTCGATCACTTTACAGTCGGAAGCGGCGCCGGGTTCCCAGACCACCCCCACCGAGGTCAGGAGACAATCACCTACCTCCTATCCGGAGGCGTCGATCATGAAGACTTTGCCGGACACAAGGGCACGATTGGGCCGGGAGATCTCCAATTCATGACTGCCGGCCGGGGAATAATGCATGCAGAAATGCCGCACGAGAACCCGGACGGGAGCCCCAATGTCGGCATGCAGCTGTGGGTTGACCTGCCTGAGAAGCTGAAGATGTGCGAGCCTCGATACCGCGATCTGCGCGCGGCGGAGATCCCAGTAGCTGATGTCGACGAGGGCAAAGTGTCCGTTAAAGTGATATCTGGACAATCGCACGGAGTCGATTCGGTGCGCGACCTGGCGTACACTCCGGTTTGGATCTTCGACATCACCATGCGCCCCGGGGGGAAGATTTCACAACTCCTCCCTCAGGGTTGGAATTCATTCGCATACACGCTGAGCGGCACTACGAGGTTTGGCGCAGCCAGTGAATCTACTAATACGGCTCCGCCATCTTCCCTAGCCGACTCCTCTCCTGCTAAGACCGTTGGGCCGTTCCATAACGTTGTATTCGACCAGCCTGGTGATTTTGTGCAGGCTTCGAATGCAGCAGAGGCCAAGGAGGACTCGCGGTTCATGCTTATCGCTGGCCAGCCTCTCAACCAGAAGATTGTGCAGTACGGCCCGTTCGTGCTGAATAGTCAGGAGCAGGTGCAGCAGGCTATGATAGATTTCCAGAGCAACTCCAATGGGTTTGAGAGGGCAAGGGGATGGCGAAGCGAAATTGGGAAAAGAATGGGTTAGGCGTGCGATTGTTTGATTTATTGATATATTGGTATTTCAAAGGGGTTTTTCTGTCTGGACGACGAAGGCATGTACTATGACTTAAACTGAATGATGTGTTGTGTTTTACAGCGGAATTTGTATATTTAGCGATACCTTCATATGCATTGGTATAACTTCTTCTGAGAAATGATAAGAAGTAATTTTGGTTCAAATATTTTATTGTTTCACTCATGTATATCCCAGTAAATGGGAACTAAAACCAAGAACAATCATACAAATCACGCCTCGAACCATTTCAACCCCTCTGTGAGTGGAGTGAGTGGAACAAACCCAGCGGAATGCCAAGACTTCGCTGATGCCACGAAAGCTTCAACGGCTGAACCGCCGATAAGCTTCTCGAACTCCTCCCCTCCCTTCGTACCAACTATTTTGCAACTGGGCATTCAGACTTACTTGCGAAGATAACGCTCTTTTTTACAGCGTTCCAGTTTCCCACCTCAGCCCAGCCATATTCGATAGTGGTGGACGGCGGAATCGACGTTCCCGGCAAGCCTAGCTAGCCCGCTCTACGAAGCGTACGGCCTATTTACCTACCCTACCGTGAATAAATAAACGCCAACTTCATTGCGCGGCTTGAACTACGACGATAGAACAGAAACCTTCCTAGGCGGACATTATGATTTCTTTGACCACCCGCAGGTCGTGAACCCGAGGGACGATCCCGAACTGCTTACTATTTATCTGGCGGCGTGCGATATTTAGCTTGCGGACAAAACTACATACGCTTGCGATTTTGGACTTACGGCAATCGCGGTACTTTATAAACTAGATACGGAGGCGAAAGCTCCGGTACTAAGAATAAAGGAAGCATTTTCTCTCTCTCTCTCTTTTTTTTAAAAAAATAAAAGCCAAGGAATAATAAAGAAGAGAAGAGAGAGTAGCCATGCGGCAGCATTCCCTACTGGCGCTCTCGAGTTTACTGGCTTATGCCGCCTTAGGCTTGGGAAGTGAGAAGACCTTCAATGTTTATGATGATGTTTTGGCGTTCCCACAGGTGAGGACTCTCTCTTCGCTCTTATATGGTGCAGGCTAATACATAAAACGATTCTTCAATGCAGTTTGAAGTTCATTTCCCTCTCGAATACATCCTCGCCTCGGATGCACAAGAGACATTAGCGAATCAACGATCCTCCTCAAAACAAAATGCCGCAACTACCTCATTATCCTCTGCATCACCATCACCCCTTGACTCTTCCGTTGTTCACCTAGACAGATCGCGGCAGCAGGCACCGCTACACGATGATAAGAAAGAAGACGAAAACGAGCGGCCAACCTTCCGCGAGGAGGGGGTTGAGAGATATGAAGAAATGCTTCTAAATGGAGGGCGATACCTTTGCGCCTTACCTAGAGTGGCGACGATCAACGAAACAGAAGATGCGGCTACATCCCCCACCGAGCAGGAGAAAGAACTTACGCGAGCCGCTGATCGCGGCTTGGAATTACTTAGCGACATGAAGGAAAGATGTATGTACTACGTTGCGGGATGGTGGTCATATTCCTTTTGCTATATGGACCAGGTGCGGCAGTTTCATGCTCTGCCGCCAGGGAATGGGGTACCCGCTTATCCGCCTGTTGAAGACCCTGCCACGCATGCTTATGTCCTAGGAAGATTCCGCGGCGAGAATGGGAGCAATAAGGATAGAAAGGGTGGTAGTGGCAGCGAGTCTTCATCGTCGTCTGGTGGTGATAAAAAATCCTCTGCGACGGAGGTAGCGGTGCTTCAGGCCAAAGGTGACTCTCGATACCTGGTGCAGCACCTGGAGGATGGCACCATATGCGACATAACTGGCAGGAATCGGAAGATCGAGGTCCAGTTCCACTGCCATCCGCAATCGACGGATCGCATTGGCTGGATCAAGGAGGTTTCGACATGCACCTACCTCATGATCATTTATACCCCGCGGCTGTGTAACGATGTCGCATTCCAGCCTCCAAGAGAGGATGATCCGAACCCCATCGTATGCCGGGAGATTATTGAACCAGATGACGTTGCGGAGTTCGAGGAGGCAAAGGCTCTCCACGAGCAGGCACAAGATATCATGAACCTAGGGAAGAGTGTTGACGAGAGTTTACCGGTCATTGGGGGTATCGAAGTTGGTGCGATGAAGCTTGTCGGAAGGGAAGGAAAGCGGATTGAGAAGGGCAAAGTTGCTTCCGCTGGGGAAGAGAGGATTGAAGTTGTCGCCAGACGCCTGGCTGGGGAGATACATAAGATGTCCAAGGAAGAGCTCAAGAAGTTCAACCTTGACGCGGACAAAATTGAGGAGGTGAAGAAGCGTCTAGAGGACATTGCGGGGGGAAAGGATTGGAAATTGGAAATGGTTGAATCGAACGGGAGGTCTACACTTCGTGGTATTCTTGTTGCTGATGGGGATGAGGTTGAGGAACCACAAGGAAAAGATGGAGGTAATAATAAGAAACAAGAGAGTGGGAAGGGAAAGAGGAATCAGGATGACCATGGAAAGGAAGAGGGCAGCGATGAGACTTACAAAGAAGAACTATGACGATCGCCTTTTGGGTATAATTTGCTGGTAGTTGCTGCGGCCACTGCAGTCACCTGTCCCACACTCTATATAATCATATGTAACTATTATATTTAGATTCTTTATCTCTCTAACTTCATTTTGTGCTATGATAGAAACTGTCTAATGATATAGATTGATTGAGATACTATAATTTGAAGATGAGTGATATTAGAATCTCTTATAGACTACTTCCTCATATCCACTGGATCTCTATGAGAATAGATATTGCTAGCTGCCACTGACTTCCTGCCGCCTGCGTCCCATATCCGCCGGATCTCAACGGAGGATCCTATCAAAAGTTTTGATTTGCACTAAGAACAATACACCATTATTGGTTAAGCTGTTCAGGCATTATTAACCTCCCTTAGAACTCTGGTAAATAGAAATGGGAATACTTTCTGCCAGTAACAAAGTTACACCTTAAAAATTCTTAGTGCTAAGCAGGATCCTTGGATGGCATGCTGACCTGGCCCCATGAAGATTTTTTATATTAATATTAATACTCAGAGGTTTGATATATCTGATCTAGAAGATTTTTCAATATAATAGAAGAGATCTGAATGATTTCAATCTTATTCAAAAACATCACTGTGTTTGTTTTACCTGATCTTTTTTGAGCTGACACTTTGTACTCCGCACTCACCACTTGAGAGATGAAAATAAAAAATAAAAAAAAATAAAAAAATAAAAAATAATTCTATCAAAAGATCATGAATTGATATAGTTGTTTTTTGCTATTCTCATTATTCAAATAGAAGAGATCAAAAAAAAACATCACTATGTTACTAAAAACAAAATGGAATCATTTTTCTTAAACAGATCCTAATGTTCCTATTTAAGACTAGTGTTGTACTATTTGGGACTAGCGGGTACCATAGGGCAAAGTGGCTGAGCTTACTGAGTTTAGATCTAGCCCCGTTTCCCTCTCGATGTCCATGTCACGTGGCATCGTCTATACCGGGGCCGTGTCTATATACGGAGTACATGTAACATGTAACCTGTATGTAATGTACATGTACCTTGCAATTTGGTCTCTCAGCTGCAAGCTATGGTGATTGTAATAATACAGTGGGCTACTGTTAATTCCATTTATGTATATGTAATTTCGTCCTCTTCCAATTCTTGTTAGAGCCACTAAAATTCAATTCCCTTCGTTGGACATTTACCTAGCAGTAGCGTTGAGACATTGGGACATGACAAATGGCCCGTACCGTATCGTAATCCAGCGACTAGTCTGCCCAGATCAGAAGCACCCCACGCCGGTACTTTCCGTATCACCCCTGTAACGTAACTTACACCGGCCGGCCATTCCTCCACAGCCCTCGACTCCTTGCCTTCAACTGTCAACTTCAACTGATTCCTTCGGCTGGCTGCCAACTGTGCCTGAATCACAACACAGCCGAACAGAACATCTACAACTACCCGGCTGCAAAAGCTCCGTTTGCCTAGCCATCTCTTCGAAGAGCGCTGCCATCTCCCCGCCGTCCCCTCGAATCCACGCCGTGCCCTGCCCTCATCCTCTCGCTCCCATAGCGCTTACGCAGCAACAGCGATTTGTATCTCAGTCCACCTGCATGTTCACCATTCGATAACTACCCAGAGGGTGGTGTCTTTGTGCCCTATTCCGCTCCCCTTCTCGGTTAACATACGAATGGAACCTTTCCTCTCTTCCTGACGATACCACTTCCATTATTCGTAACCCCCTCCCCGGCTGCTGCGACGACATAGATAGGTTTGACATCCTCTAGTTATCCAAATTCACAGACATCCAACTTATCCGTCCCCAATCTCCATTTCCTCGGCACCTTTCCACTACTGCAAATTAAAATATTATCCGTCGCAGTGGAACGGCCAGTGAACCTTTCGTGGCTGGCCAAAATCGGAGATATTATCGACCGTCTAATCAAATTCGCTTTTAACAAGGGGGTATATCAGACGAGTAATCGGAGTGGAGGCCAAGGAAAGCAACTATGGGATTTCTAGGGGTCTACACTGCGGTGTATGATTATACGCCGCAGGCGGAAAATGAGCTTGAAATACGTGAAGGGGATTTGTTATATGTAATGGACAAGAGCGCCGAGGACGATTGGTGGAAGGCGAAAAAGAAGGCCGCAGCGGACGATGAGGAAGAACCAGTTGGATTGGTGCCAAATAATTATGTTGAGGAGGTAAATATATTGATCCTTATTTCACTTTGCCCGTTGATCTCTTGAGGCACATACAAATTTGGAAGGTGGGGGTGGGTTGAGCATCCCCCCTCCCTTACCGGGGTTTATATGTCCTACTTTATTGCGCATTCTAAAGCCAGCGTGTTGAACGAACTGACGGCGTTGCAATACAATAGGCGCAACCGATCAGCAAAGCAAAGGCTCTTTACGATTATACCCGCCAAACGGATGAAGAAGTGTCGTTCGCGGAGCACGCTGAGCTCACTGTCTACGACACATCGGACCCGGACTGGACCTTGGTGGGCGTTAACAATGATTTTGGCTTCGCGCCTGCCAATTATATTGAGATAACGGAGGATATTGCGGCCAACCGACCAACCCGGACAGCCCCTCCTTCACTTCCGGCGAGATCGGTTGAGACAGAGTCCGAGGGAGCATTAACACCAGCATCCCCCTCCAGCACGGATGCGAGTCCCGCGGCTGCATTAGCTGGAATCCTCCACAAAAGCCAGCCCTCGGTATCGTCGGAACAGCCTCGTCCTGTTCCCTCTCCTCCAGAAGCATCCTCCGCACGGCAACCAACCCGACAACCAACTTACACCCCAGAGGAATCAGACGGAGAAGATTCTACACCGCCACCAGCTCTTCCACGACGTCACCCGTCTCAGCAAATTACCCCATCCCCCAAGTTACCTTCCCCACGCGATACCTCTCCACCGCGGCCAAAACATGCTCCTCTTCGCGAGGAGGAACCCTATGGCGTCCAGCCGTCTCCACCTTACAGATCTAGAGAGTTCCGTGAGCAACGATCCGCGATTTCTCCATCCGGATACCATATTTATAATATTAGCGAAATGGTTTCCGTAATGGGGAAAAGAAAAAAGATGCCGACGATACTAGGGATCAATATGCACACGGGAACAATTTTTATTTCGCCAGAGAAGTCTGTTGATGGGCCACATCAGGAGTGGACGGCTGATAAACTTACTCACTATTCGATTGAAGGAAAGCACGTATTTCTGGATCTTATCCGGCCTAGCAAAAGTGTTGATTTTCATGCTGGCGCAAAGGATACCGCCAACGAGATTGTTTCCGCACTAGGCGAGATTGCTGGTGGATATAAGGCTGAAGGCCTTAGAGAAGTAATTGCGGCTGGTACTGGAGGCGCTCGGAAAAAGGGCCAGGTCTTGTATGATTTTATGGCTCAAGGAGACGATGAAGTCACCGTTGCCGTGGGTGACGAGGTTATTATCCTAGACGACAGCAAGTCAGACGAGTGGTGGATGGTTAGGCGCTTGAAAAACGGCAGGGAAGGCGTCGTTCCCAGCAGCTACGTGGAACTGACTGGAGTGATGACGGTAGACGAACCCAGCAGAAGGGGTACGAATGCGGGACTGTCCACAATTGAACAAAATAGGCTTGAGGAATCGCGGCTGACGAAGGAGACTGCACGGAAGTCAAAGAGCCATGGTTCCAGTGACTCGCGTGGCGGAGAGGTAGGCCCAGGCATAGAGCTTCCTGAGAGAGGTAGTAGTTTGTTTCCTAGAGAAAATAGTAACCATCGTTCACAGCGACAAAAGCGCGATAGCAGGTCAAAACCAAGTAAGTGATACCGTGGTTTACCTCCTTCAAATCTTGCCCTCGGTTTGAAATTGTGTTAAGAAAGATGCTAACAAAATGCTGTAGAACCGGATCCCTTGAAAACGCGAAAGTGGACCGACAGGACTGGAACCTTTACTGTTGTAGCCGAATTCATCGGGCTTGCCGAGGGTAAAATTCATCTTCATAAGCAGAATGGAGTGAAAATTGCCGTCCCCGTATCGAAAATGTCTGTCGATGACCTCGAATACGTTGAGACGGTTACTGGCCAATCTCTCGACGAAGACAAACCACTTTCCCACATCCGACGTCGAAGCCGCCTTAACGACGCTGGGAAAGTCGGTGCAAGCGTAAAATCAAATGAGTATGACTGGTTTGACTTTTTCCTCAAGGCTGGTGTCGGGCCTCACTTGTGCGAACGTTACGCCCAGAACTTTAACAAGGATTCTATGGATGAGAGCGTTTTGCCGGATATCACTACAGAAACACTACGTACCCTAGGTTTGAAGGAGGGAGATATTTTGCGCGTCATGAAATATCTCGATAATCAGTTTAATCGTACTGGCAAATCTAAAATGGTCAGCTTCGGTGGGGAAGAAGTGATTGGTAACGGCCAAGACGGAGCTGGTGGGCTGTTTTCAGGTCCTGGAGGAGCTCTCCGCAACAATACCCGCAAGGGTCGTCCGGCTCCCGCCGTCCAGACTAGCGACGTAGTGGATCCGAAGGCTTTTGAAGGTAAAACTGATTCGGCCAAACCTAGTTCACCGAAAGCTGCCCCTGAATCTACTGGCCCTGAGAAAGATAAAGTTTCGCAAGGATTTGAAGATAGCGCGTGGGAAGTTAAGCATCCTCAACAGACTGCTGTCTCGATTGCCCCATCAACTACCCCAGCTCCCGCAGCTACCACACAGACAGCGCCGGCGACACAGCCAGAACCTGCACCTCCTGTAGGAGCGTTGGCAGACTTGTCCCTCCTCTCAACTCCTCTCCAACCAACTAAGGTTCAACACCCACCTTCTCTGCCTCAGCCTGCGCAACCCCCTATTTCTCAACCCCCACCGCAAATTCAGCAGCCGCAGCAAACTGGAGCAAATCCGTCTTTCTTTGCCCAGCTGGGCCAGCACCAACAGCAACAACCTCAAGCAACTTTCCAACCCCAGGTGACTGGATACGTTTCACAGCTACAACCAATGCCCCCAAGACAGCGACCACAGCCACCGGCAATGTCGACTCAAGGATCTCTTCTTCCACCCCCACCAGATCGACCCCTATCAGCACCCCAACGCCTCCCGCAAAACAGCGGTTTTGGTCCTCCTCCTATACAACCCCAACTCACTGGCCTCCCGCCTTCGACGCCTAACATTGCTCCACCTGGCCACAGCCTTGCAGAGCTTAATCAGCAGCGGTTCCAGCCACAATTCAACCAGCAACCACAACCACAGCAAACCGGCATGGGCTCATTTGGAAACCAGATGTCACCACCACTACCACAACAACAACAGCACTATGGGTTCCAGTCTCCACAATCATTCATGAACGGGCCGCAGCAGACCATGGACCAGCAACAAGGATTCCAACAGCCACTAATGCCGCAGCAAACTGGGTTCCCGGGTTTCCAACCGCAACAGCAGCAGCCCATTCAACCTATGCAACCCATGCAGCCCATGCAGACTGGTGTCAATTCGGCTCTTTCCCAGTCAATGCACCCGCAGCGCACTGGTGTGAATGGATTTGGAGGCGATACCAGCTTTACCCCTTCCCCGCCCCCTATTCCGCCGATCCCGCAGCAGCCTAGTATTGCTCCGCTACAGCCACAGAAAACAGGGCCTCCGCCTCCCGTTCGTTTCGGCGTGCAAAAGGATGTGAAGCTCACGCCGCAACAAACCGGGCTCAAGGCAAATCTCTCACAGGCCAGTAAGTTGAAACTTCCCTTTAATCTGTTGTATCCTACATACAATTATCTGGCATAGCTCATAACGATCTTGTACTGATTTATAATTTCACTTTCCACTAGCACCATCCAACCCATTTGGATTTTAAACCTCCTAATATATCTCCTCTATATATAATAATGTTTTTTTAATTTTCTATAAATCATCTTCACTTCGTCTCACGACAACATGTCTACTCCGAAGAAAACGAATTCCAGTGAGTGATCTTATCGTCGCGAATCTCGGAAACAGCCATCCAATCATCACAGTCGGCTCAACCTTTAACCATCGCCATCCAGCGTTTCCATCCATTAGGTAACCCCTTTCTAGCATCATCCTTGCACAAAGTAAATGAGTTTGCCAGCTAGAATGCCTTCCTGCCCTCTATCTTTCATATGTTTCATATTCGTTCTCGCTGAATTCCCAGAAAGAAATCTTGCGTATTTTGGCACATGTTTCGCATTGGAATGTTTTCTTTCCCTTCTAATCCTATCTTCCTAGTTCCTGATTTCCTTACACTACATCATTTTCATTATTACATTATATTTACGTCTTGTCTCTCTGTTGTTGAAATTCCTTCCCTGTCTTCCATTCCTCTCACTTCCGTTTTTGCATGCCAATTCCGTTTCTGTTTTATGGCCTCGTGTGTTTTGAACAAATCAGTGCTATTACTTTCTTCATTTTCCCCTGTCATTTAATTTTATCTATCTGAGCCAGTTTTTTTATCTTTCGCTCACAGCGTCCTCTTTCTTCCTCGCCCTTTTTTACAATTTTTTGAGTAGGTAGCTAGCCTTTTAAGTGGAAAGATTTTTGCCAACGATTTTTTTCTTTTATTCCTTTTAAACTTTCCCTTAAGTCTGAGCTCCCTCTGATTTCGTTGTGCCTTGTCTTCCAGAGGGTGTTCTGCTACATGTTGCTGAGATTGCAAGTAAAAGCAATAAATCGTTCCGATCCTCGTTCTACGCCAGCCAGTGGCTAGTTTGTAGAATATTTATACTAAGATCTGGATCAGTTATATCCGCAGGGGGGTTGGACACTGCTCCTTTCTTGTTACCTCGACTGTTAGAAAACTAATAAAGCACAGCATACCTGATCATGATCTCCGGTTGACGTGGCATGGCGGAAATAAAGGAAGGTTACCAAGGTTGATGATATGTGTCAATTTAAATAAATATGGACGGATAATTCACATAGGAATATAGAAAAATGAAGCATGAACTATAGATATATATATAGATCAACATCGTCGAAATCGGGCTAATGGAAATAGGGGTGAGAGCCCAGCCGACGTACTAGTATAATAGTATTGGTGACAAAAAATAATGTTTGGAAAGGAGATAGACTTTCTTAAACCCACGGGAAGGAAAATACAAATTGAGACCAAGCCAAAAACGAGATATTAGAGTCCAGAAAGAAAGAAAAAAAAGACAAAACGCCGACGCTGAAATGCTATATGCGTGATTAGATGAGTAGGGAAGATTTATATATATTAATCTGTAGGAGGGGGATGATAGTCGTAAATTCGTAAACAGGGTGAACAAAATGGAGTGGTTTTAAGGGGCTAAAAGTATGCGAGGAGTGAAAAATCACAAAAGGAAAAAAGGAAACAAGGAAACACAAAACGAAAATCCGAGAACTCCACCGGTCCCCTTTAGTTACCACCTCTCCCCTGTTTCTTTCGCAAAACGGTGAGATAGAAAAGTTTGGAGAAAAGAGTAAAACCAAAAAAGAAAAGGCAAATGCTAGAGCTATGAAAAACAAGAGGACCAAAAGGATTCATTTCACATCATCCGATACACCAAATCCGATGCCAATTCTCCCAACGCATCCAGTAGATCCCTGAAACCCATTTGCATCATATCCATCGATTCCATACTAGCTGCCTCGGGCGTCCGGGGTTGGTAGCTTGCCAGCTCCCTCACCTTACACGCAGCATAGTGCGTGACCAACTTCCGCAGCTCGTTCTGCCTGTGCGCGTTCGGATCCGGGCTCGTCAGCGAGAAGACCGGGTCATCGCGCTTGGTTCTCGTGAATGTAAAGTGCAGCAACTGGATAACGGCGGCGGCACTGGTTGGGGAGAGATGGTCTGCTGTTTTCGTGGAGAGCGGGAAGGAGACGAGGTCTCGATGGAGTTTTTTTAGGGTGAGTTGGGCGAGGGTTGGGATTAGGAAGCGCGTGGCGAAGACGTATAGTTTGGCGTGGAAGAGGAGGTAGGGGGCTGGTTCGTTGCCGGAGACTGCGATGCCGTAGCCGGGGGTGTTTCGAGAGAGGGGCGAGGGAAGGGCCATACCGCCCGACGTGCGCTGGTGGTGGATGTATTGTAAGGAAGCGAATTCGCCCCACAAGCCTAGGCCACGGGATTTAGGGGAGATGAAGGAGCCCTGAAAGGCTGGACCAAGTTTGGGCATTTCAGGTTTCGGGGTTGCTTCGAAGTCGAACCAGTCGGGGGCGGCGGAGACAGCTTCTGATGGAGGGATGTGAGGTGTTGCTGCTGCTATTTCTTCGGGGTTCGTGGGCTCTGCTTCTTCTGCTGCTGTTTCTCCTGCCTCTTGTTGCGCCAGCTCGTTTTCATCCTTTTGATCCCCCGTCATTTGGGGTGGTGTTCTTGGAGGCGTCATGTTAGCTGCTGCACCCTCTTCAAGGTCCTGAGCTGCTTTTCCTCCTTTTTGCTTTTTCTTCCCCTTTTTCCCCTTCTTCCCCTTGCCAGAGTCCCCTGCTTGATTCCCGTCTTCATCTTGTTCTTCTACCTTATCTCCTCCTGCTGCTGCAACGCCTTCTCCTTCCCCTCCTCCTGCCGCAATATCCTGCGGTTCTTCTCCTGGCTGGGGTGTGACGGGCGGAGATGGTGCCGGAGGTCGAATAGCAGAAGCTAATGGCGGTGCCATTCCCGCATTCCCTTGGCTATCCCTGCGTCCAATCGGGGTGACTCTCGGATTGGGCACTGTGTAGTCTCCCGTATAGGCATACTCGCAGAAACCGACGAAGGTCTCGACATCTTCTTCCTCTAGGACTGCGATCCGGTGCCGCGATTCGCGCGTGTGGCCATTGTTCATTAACTCATCGAGGCGTTGGGAGACATGTTTGGCAAGGCCAGACTGGATGGTGAGTTTTGTATGATCTGGCCCAACGAGGAATGTGAAGGAAGGCGAATGAACAATGCTGTTGTGTCCAATGATGGAGAAGAGTGATGCGTCAGCGGGAAGTCTGTCATTGCAGAGTGGATTTATATGTTAAAGCCCGCTTGAGCGCGTGTAGTTGAGCTAATGCCACAAAAAGTGCAGAATTGATCGGAAGGGGTGCTAGAGAGAGCCTTATCACGGTATAGGTGTGTGTGTATATGACCCTTTTTTCAACATACCTATGAAAGTCTGGTAAGGGAGCTGTCATCTTGACATCAAAAAGTAGTAAAATATGTCCTGGCAAAAAATCGCACGCAATATTGTCGTTCGTAAAATACAAACTCCCCTTTCCTTTTGCGCTGTCAGGAAAAGGTGGGAAAAAATAAAAATAAAAATAAAAACGAAGAGAATTTATGTGAAAAGAAATCACGATGAGCAAGCAAAGGCTTGAGAGCCTTTATCCTGCACTCGCTATCAATAAATAATACAGCGAAGCAACGTCGCCTCTCCTCTGGTCGGCCCAACAACAACCACGCCTGCTTCCATAAATAAGGGGACAGCAGGCGTGATGTTAATTATGCCCGGTTCCCCTCGACAGTCTCATCGCTAGTTCATCGAAACACCTGCAGTCATCGCATCAGAGACAACGTCACAGGCATCCACCACAGTGCGTACGGGGAAGGCGTTGATAGACAGAGCGGAACCCGCTTGTGAAGCAGGGCAACCAGTTAACTCGCTGTCGTGGCAGGCTATCAAGTAGCCCCATCTGCGATAACTTAACTTACCACTAAAATGAATGGTGCTCGGGTTCCCTCTTTGAAACTCCCAGGGAAAAAGAGGATAAGGGCGCCTGAGACACCATTTTTAAGCGGTCAAAAGCCGCTCCGTTAGGTACATAGTTCTGCGGAAATGCAGGGCTCGCATTTTTGTGTGTGTGCCCGGCTTGAGATATGTGTTCACGCCTTCTTTTTCAGATCATTCGGGGCACTCATGTTGGTGGTGATGGTGATGCTTGGTCCGCCTTTGCGCTCAGGGCTGCTCGGGTCGCCATTCTCTCTCGCAGGCCTGACCCTTCCCAGCGGTGCAATTTGCTGCTCCACGACGTCATGAATAAGCGGCCAGCCAGTCGCTTGATGGGAGCCAGTTCTACCGCTGTTGTTTGGATCTAGCTACGTGGCGCGTTCGGCAGGAAGAACGAACGAATCCTCAAACAGCCGCACCAGCTAGCTTAGCCATATGTGGGCTAAATACTGCAGTTGTTCCTAGTTGTTAGTGTAGTTCGTTGCTAGTGGGAAATGAATGGATGTTTATTTGGCTGACCGTGTGTAGGGTGATTGGGCTGCGGCGCTACATTCTGGGGAGTGAAGTTGCATCCTGGTGCTGTTAGTTGTTGATTGATGCCCGATTGCTGTCCTGTGGATGGGAACAAAGTGGATGCCCCACTTGGTTATTTAGGCCGGGCTCATGTCCGCTAAGGACGGTGTGCTTTTAACCTGCTGGTAGGGTAGGGTAGATATGCCGGCTCTATTTGAGATTCATCTTACAAATAGAAGCCAACCCCCTCGTAGATATTTTAAATGCAGAGTGTTCCGTCTCATAATAGTTGGCTCTGATGTTTGTGTTCCTACATATAAGGAGCCACGCTGAGAAAAATGGATACTTCGAGATTAGCAGAAAAAGCAAAACCGACCCCGTCAAGCAGCTCGAGGACCAGTTTACGGATGGAGCGGTGAAGGGTTCCAGATCCAGCACTAGCCGGTGATATATCATATCATTCTCTTGCAAATATGTGAGGACTAGACATAGCTTGGTGGTTTGTTCTAACAAGTCTTCATGTCAAAAAGGGGATAATCGCCACCGATGAACAGAGCTGAAATCATCCCTCAGGTTCTATTCAAATGGTATATGCATTAACATGGTAGATAGTTATCAGAACAACAAAAAGAAATAGAAACAGGTTTCCCGTAATCTGACTAATGTATCAATCTCAGGTTCTTTCCAGGCTCCCAGTCCCGCAACCCGTCTCGAATGTTATACCAAAATCTCAATCTCACACACTGCTTTCTTGCCTCCTCAATATCACCTTGATTAAACGCATTCCCCAGGCTTGTAACACATCCCTTAATCCTCTCCTCATTCTCGTCCTTCAATCGCGCAACGATAATCTCATCCTGTGCCTCCTCAATGATCTCCTGGACTTCAAGCGTCTGCATCAACGTCTCCATATCTTGAGGGTGATCCTTGGCACCATCTTCCGCTGTCACGTCGATGCCGTGCTGAGAGGCGAGAAGATACTGGGCACGGCTCAATGGATCAGAAAGAGCACGGTATGCTTCATTGATGCGAGCGGAGAGTGCTTCTGCACTCTGTTTCTTTGGGCCTGGCGGATACTTATCAGGATGTGCGCGGCCTTGAAGGCGCAGAAATTCCTGTCGGAGGTCGGGAACGGAGATGTCGAAGGGGCCCTTGGGTGGTGGGTTGGGAATGGTGTTGGGGAAGATGGAGTAGTGGGTAGAGATATCTGGGGGTTTGTTGATCAGAGAGTCAGCTTCACCTGTCGAGTTTTTCTCGGCATTCTGGGACGTAGGTGGCTCGGATATAGCGGAGGTGTTCGGGGGCGGATTGGACGCTGGGTTCGCATTGGCACCGGCTAATAGTCTGCGAGAGTCATGGAAATTCCGAATCGCGAGGGACGGTCGCCATGTCTTATGCTGACAGAATATGCATATATTGTTTCTGGCAGCTGGAAAAGAAGTATTGCGCGTTACAGAACGTGCTGGAGATGCCCCTATTCGCCGAAGGGCGGCGGCGGAGGAGAGGAGCGTCCTCGGCATATTCGCCCGACCCAGCAAGTGGCTGGTGGATAAACAGAGGGAGCTGACTGCCAATCTCTCGATCTCCTGTAGCAGCTCACTAAATTCCAGTGTGTCCTGTTCAAGTTTCTAACAGAGCAAACGGTTTGCGAAATCAACCCAGGAGATATGGGTTGGCGGAGTTGTGAGAATAGAGTCGCGGAGTTCCGTCACTTCTCCGCAAAATTTATTTATTTTATAACTAGAGGCCGCTTTAGTTACATAATCAGCGCCAAGACCCCCGCCCATCTCTCCGGCTAACAATGCCGACGACAACC